CTTCTACCGCGCTGCGCTGCGCTGCACTGGGTAATAAAAAGAATATACAACCGTTAGTGGGCGTCCTACACAGGCGTGACGTTTTTACGAACGGGACTTTGCTCTCTTGTTCTATTTATACTCTTTGGTTCACGCATGATCGTCTGCATCATCATCACCAACAATCAACTTTTCTGTGATGATGAGTCAAGTGAGCCAACCTGAAGAAAATTATATTCCTAGAATAGAAGTGGAAATTACTGTAAGTAACCAGGGCGCTAATGAACTCTCGAACCTAACTTACTTCTAAAGAACTATCGTTCACTAATTGCAAAAGATTCCTCATACAGAGAATATCATTGGGTAAAATAAATCCGCAGCTGAGACTGATTAGGCCTAAATAGTAACCTACTACCTAGGCCCTCCCCTAGACTAGGCTAGGCTAGGCTAGACTTGGCCTAGGCCCTCCCCTAGACTAGGCTAGGCTAGACTTGGCCTAGGCCCGATCCTAGGCCTACCTTGGCGGGCCTAGGCTTAGTCCCTAGGCTTCTTCTAGGACTAGGCTAGGCTCTGTAGGGGCTTGGTGTAGGCAGGTCAAAACGGCAATAAAAACCAAAACTGCAATAAACCAAAACGGTAGTGGTAAGTACCAAAACGGCAACAGACCAAAACGGCAACGGCAAGTAGGCAAGTACTTTTATTAGTAGTAGGCCTAGTACGAACAAAACGACAAACAAGCAAAATTGTGTATAGATGCCTTATTTTGCCTGTATTTTAAAGTTTTATTTATTTGATGAATGTTACTGTTTTTACATTGTGTTGTTATTGTTTTATTATTGAATTTGTTGTTATTGTTATTAGGCCTTAGCATTAGTTTGCGGCCAGTAGTAAATTCGTTCTTTTTTATACCTCCATGGTTCGATGTAGTGCGTGTTTGTAAATACAGTACAATGCCCCAACGGCTAAATGGGCTGAGTAAAGCTTCCTAATATCCTCTGTTATTTATTAAATATGAAATAAGCATAAAGGTAGCCTTCATTGAACATAATATATGTCATTAATGTCGCCTTTGGGTTTACACGGTTATTATTAAATAAATGATTTATTTTATCAACTGAATGACTGATCGATTTCCCACCGACATTTTTTTGCTGTTTCATATGATATTATAAACTACAGATGGTAAAATAAGATAAATAAATGATGATGAATAAATAAGATAATGTAGGCCACACCCTTGATCGCATTCGGCTCATCAGCGATCGCGGATGAATTTTCCCGCCACGTATTGCCGACGGCGTAATTTGAAAACCATCACCCATAATTGCGTTCTTCACAATTCCGACGTACACAGTTATTAGCTGGCTTAATTTTTGAAATTAACTTGTTTCCTGGTTCTGACGAGCAAGAATCTAAGTATCTGATTGGTTAGTATGTATTCACAATTATGACTAATTTAAATGTAGGTGGCGATATTTCTTTTTTTTAGACTTAGTTTTTCTTTTTTCTTTCATCCATCGTGTGATATGACGGCACCGTTAGTGTTGTAAAGCGTACAGTCGTCATTAATTGTAGTGTTTATTATTATCAAGTATAATTAACCATCTATTATAAGTCAGTTTTATAGACGTAAATGAAAGTAAAGTTTTAATCAAGAAAATCAACATAGCGCACAGAATACAATATCTAACAGTGGCGCTAATGACGTCTGCATTAAGGTAGTCGTCTGAATAATACGAGGCATAGGCCTATGTGTACAGTGTATATATATATATATATAAGAATGACAAAATATACTCTGTGTTTACTGGAACAGTCTTCCGCCCCATAACATTCCATAATCAAGTAGGCGCATAGCTCTTGTTCCAATATTTGCATCCACACCTGGGCCGTATCTATATACTGTCTTGGTTTGGCATTGACGGTTCATTAGCGATGCTGCAGTTGAGTTGCGTCGGGCTAGCCTAGGCCCTGCTCAAGCTGGTCATAACGTTCATCTTTACCCTAGCTGCACTGATGAGGCCTAGAAGGCCGAAACGGATCCGTCTGCAGATATTGGGATTTTTTCCAGTGGATATTTAGTTTGTTTTGTCATTCTTGATCGGATTTTCTCTACTGTAAATAGTAACCAACACTATCGCAACTTTCACGTGCAGTTTTAAACACCGACAAACAGTGGTTAACAGGTACATCCGACTGTATCCGACTGTAGTAACAACAATCAACTTTTTTATTCCGGAATTTTCTCCATAACAAATACAAAAATGGAAAAGATAAATAATATTACAGACTGTAGGCAGTTATAAAACCTGCTCAATACAAAAGTGTATTCCATTTGGAAAACGTAGTTGAGTAATATAATACTGACTTGACAACACCTTTAAACCAGGCTGTTTTCAGAAGCATATATCCTTTTCATAAAAGAATAAACTGATTTTCTTACAAATTCGTAAAATGAAAGTAGCCTGCACGTAACAAACATTGCACTTGCACTGCTTGCCCCGGGCTTACCAAGCAATAACTTTAAAGCATTGTTATAGCAAATTTATCGACTTACTCTTATAGTCAGACCATATATTTACACAATAAAAATTCATACAAAAACTTCTAAACAACGTGCGCTTTACACTATCCGTACACCTATAGAAACGCCTCTTCAGAGAGTTGGCCGCATACATAGTGACCTATATTGCCGAGCTTTATCAGCATCATCAGTTGCATCACTAGAAAGTACATTACCAAGGTAGAGAAATGAAGTAGCATACTCCAACTGTTCCAAATCTACAGTAGTGACAGGGTCACCGCTCAACTTTCTTACATGTGGACAAAAGCACATGCACACAGACTTTTTACCATTAAATAAGATGTCATGCGTGCTCGCATGATCTTCACAGATATCAATTAACTCTTGAAGCCCGGCTGCCGACAGCGACAATATCATCAGCATAACTGAAATAATTAAACATAATACCATCAAACTGGCAACCAATAAAACAATTTTTCAATCTTTTACTTAGAGAATCATTGTATAAACTATATAGAAAAGGGGGACATTATCCCTCCTTGATGAACTCCATTTTAAACTAAGTTTTCCCCCACCGAACAATAAATTTCTGAGTCATGTACCATGTGGACAGAAGTCGTACCACAGCATAGTTGGTTCCCTTATCAATTAGTTTTTTAAACAAGGTTGAATGATTTACCCTATCAAACGCCTTACATGAATCCAAAAAGCATGCATATACAGGACTTCCGTTTCTATTATAGTACCTGTTTTAATACAAAAATACACGTCTCAGTGGAGTGTCCACTTTTATACGCAAACTGGTGATCATTACTATGAAGAGTATCCCCTGCTAGATCAATGAGCAAATACTCCAGGACCTTAGTAACACATGCCAGAGCAACAGGCCTATGGTTGTTTCTACTAGTTACATCCCCCGTCTTACTCTTAATAATTGGAACTAAAACCACTTTTGTCATGTCTTCACTTATATGCCCATGACTTAGCATTGAGTTATAACAGATGCTTAGTAGTACACATAATCGGTCACCTGCATACCGCAGGTGCTCCCCACAAAGGCCATCAAAGCCGGCCGCTTTCTTTCCACTCAGCGTGACGTCGTCAAGAGTGATCGCACAACTAGGGGCCAAGGATGTCTACCAAGTCTCGAACTCAACTAAGGCCCAAATTACGGTGCTCGGCTGCTGCAATGCAGTCGGGTTTTATGTTCCACCAATGCTAGTTTTCCCGGGCCAATGATTTGTATATAACCCACTGTCCGGTGCCCCGAAGGCTCCTTCCTAGGGAGGAGTTCTAACGGGTGGATAGACAGTGAAGTGTTTCACGAATGGTTGGCCAACCACTTCTACCCTTGCATTAGGAATGCTAATATTCCGTTTCCCGCCACACACTTGAATATATCGAAACTTGCAAATTTTGTAGGGACAACGAGATACTCCTGTACTGCTTTCCTAGCCACTGTAGTCATATCCTTCAGCCTCTTGATTTATCTGTTTATTATTCCCTCAAGTGTTTTTGGAGGAAAGCAGTGCAGGAGTATCAATTCCAGAATCCTGGCGAGACCATTCTGAAAAAAAACATTTGCTAGAGTTTTCAAAACGCGTGGATTGCGTCAGCAACAAAAAAAAAACGCTTCCTCTGAGTTCAGAAAAGTTGGACTCTATCCTTTTACCATCGATGCTATCGACAGGAACAAAGTGGAGCCATCACGGGTATTTACCCAGGAACCTCTAGACTCAGAAGAAGCGGATGCTCCTGGCATGAGCACTCAAGCTGATGCTGCCTCCATTTTATTGGAGATGTCGGGAATGGAAGTTCCCACACCGGCAACACCAGAGTCCGCGCCATAAGCAGCAGTGCCAGAAGCAAGTGCGACGACATCGACACCCTCACCTGCTGTATCGTCAGTGTTTCAAAATCATTTAAGATTTCCGAAGCAGGTGAGGAAACAATCGTCATCGGAAAAAACCTACAGCGAGATGCCAAAGGCACTCAGTGGAGAGCAATTTATTGCCTATGCAGAAGCTAAAGAAAAAAAAAAGCAGCAGAGGAAGAGCAAAAACAGAAACGTATGAAGAAAGGGAAGCGAAGAAGAAAGCAAAGATATCGGAAAAGCCACAAAAAATTGACACCAACGTATGTGCTAAATGTAAGGGAAAATACCTAGATGATGGGGGTAAAACGAAGTGGATTGGATTTGAATGTGGCAGGTGGTTCCATTGCACTTTGAGATGCTGTTGTATCGACGGTGCCAATTTCATGACGGAAGAGTTAGATTGGGAATGTGACCACTGCACAAAATAACAAGCATGTGATTTCGTTTTATAGTAAAACTTAAAAAAAAATAAATAAAAAATAAATAAATTAAAAAAAATCAGCTCTTAGATCGACACTTCAATCCAGTCTTCGATGATTATATTATTCTTTCATTCACTCCTTATTTTCACATACATCGTTTTACATTTTTAAAATTTTCAGTAGTGCTGTTTATTGCCTACTATTTAAGTTTGATTCAGTTTTACAATGCATATTTATTATTATTGCCTTAGCATTGTACTTTTTATGTTACTTTTTATTTGACACCTTATATTATTTTCTCTTTTTGTTTTGGTAGTGCTGTTTTTTCATTTGGCCTGCTTCAGTTTTCTTTAGTAATAATTTATAATAATGCTTGCGGTACATCACGTAGATAAAACACAAAATAAAATCATACTGTACTTGAGTAAAAATATGTAACCAATTTTTAGTTCGCATGGCCCATTGTCCGACGTGACCAGAATGTGTTATGTAATTGTATCTTAGTGTGAAAAATTAAAATCAATTATGGATAGATTCTGATCCAAGTTGCATTGAAAAGGCCCACCTCCGACGTGAGCATGTACGTTAATATACTGGAGGCCTAGAAACACCTTGTGTTCTAACTAGCTGAATGATATAAATAAATTTGATAAACAATAAAGGGCAGGTGCTGTCTCTTATACACATCTAGAGGTGTATAAGAGACAGGGTACATACCAACGGATACCAACACTGTCACCATAGGTGTTAAGTGACAATACTAAAGGTTCAAAATGTCACATGCCTTACACTTGACTGCCCTCTATAGTTTATCATAGTATCCATCCCATAATACTCCACAGGAACATTTGGTGGGCATGGGTCCACAACAAGGAACGTTGTAAAGTACGATACGTATGTCGTCAAAAAGAAAATATTATGTACGTACGATGCGTATGTACCGTATGTTTACTAGTGGCCGCAAAGTGACGCTGGCTTGGCGCAATCTAAATCAAAATTCCAGTGTAAGTTGACCTAATTAAATCCACTAATTTATAGCAATCACACACATCTGTGGTATAGGATTCACATCACTTGAGGTCAACTCTACATGAATTGTATCAACTGCTTTTAATGTTTTTTTATTTGAATTAGAGTTTAAAATAACATACGTGGCCGCTAACTAACGCGTGCACCCTAGGCCTATTATTATTATTATTATCCGCTGCTGTCGTCCTCGTATTTATTACCATTATTATCTGCGCCAGGAAATATGTATGTTTATGTTTTTATTTTGTTGTTATATTATTTTTGTTCGCGTTTTTTACTTTTTTGACACAAATGTCTCATGCCTCATTTTTCTGTAATTTAATGTTTTTTTTTATTATTTAAATTTTTACTGTATTTATTCGTTATATATTTTTATGTTTGGTTGGAAATAAGTTTTACTTCTTAAAGAAAACTTTCATAGGTCATCCTTGCATCATTTTTTATTGTAATTGTTTGTCCTGCCTTGTGCAAATTTCATCTGTTTGTAGAATATTTTGATGATGTGAAATAAACTGAACTAACGGTATACCAAAATAAACATTGAATCGGAATTCTTGATGTGTTGCCATTTTGGTTTATTGCCTTTTTGACTTATTGCCGTTTTGGTCCATTGCCGTTCTGGTAAAAAAGTGTTGCTGTTTTGTCTTATTGCCATTTGGTCATTGCCGTTTTGACTTCTTGACGTTTTGGTTTACTGTCGTTTTGACTAGAAAGCCTAGGAGCTAGACTCAGCCTTAAGGATATGGTGTCACACCGACACCACAGCACACAGCTAATAAACTTCCTAATGCTGATTGGATCTTATTTTCCTAATCGCATCCTTCATCATTCATACGCCTCTAGAGTAGCTACAGTATGCTATGCTACATATAACAATTAACATTCAATCGAAAATCAAAAATTAGGTTAAGACTGGTGTAACAATCGCCACTGCCTTTTTTCAGATTTACTATAATGGCAGAATATCCCCATGGAGCTAGACAGAAGCAGGCAAGTCATACCACTGACAAAAGAATTATAAACATTAAGAAGTACAACACAGCAGCCTATGCAGACATCCAGAAGGCATTGACCCTTGATGAACAAGGCAATACATCTCAAGCAGTGCATTTTTACAGTAAAGGTTTGGCAAGTCTTATGAAAGGCTTAGAAATTCCAACTAATGAACCTAGCTGCCAGGGAATAGAATGGGACGAAGCATGCAGACTGCAGAAGAAGATGAAAAAAACACTCCAGCAAATGAAAACTCGTTTGGAAAGTTTAGAGCAGTCGCATGGAAATCCGTCAAGTGTGTCAAAAAATGGCAACTCAAGGTGTCTTACAGAATCGGATATGGAGAACCTAAATAGTAATTTAAGAATGGAGGAGGAACTTGTGGAGTTGGGAGAGCCACCATCTTATATAGAAAGTGAGGCAAATGCAGATGAAGTGTTCAGTATTGCTGATGGTGCACAGATCTATTTCATAAACAATAAAGGGCAGGTGAGCACACCAAGTATGCCTAGCTCTCTCAGGATTTATGAGTTCACAGAGGAGGTGAGGTCACAGCATTCCAACCAACCTCCAGCATTTTTACAAGTTTCTGATTGGCTGTACCCATTGGTTAAGGGGCAGTCACCAGTGTTGAAGAGTAATGATGGCGCCTTTATCTTCTTGGATATGATGACTCCAGAGGAGGGGTCAAGTGTTGGTGTCATGTTCACAGATACTGTTAATAGGTAAGATAGGACTATTAATTTATTTTTACATTTTTAAATGTTCTTAATTTTATTGTCAATTCCACAGTTTTATCTACAATAAGTAATAAATATCAAGAAGCACATCTAGATACAGTATAAGTACAGTATGTACCAGAGTGACATATATTGTATTTGTACATAAAACACAAAAAAAGCAGAAAAATAAAAAACACATTGAAAATATTTTTAGTTTGATAATTCCTTATACTTAACAGATCATAGTAATATACTGTATAATATTTGCTGTTGTTATTATTATTATTATTAATATTAAATTTGTTTACAGAGCATCCAGGGCCCTATTTGAGCAAACACTGAAAAGGTTTGCAACAATATGTGAGCAGAATTCAGATGGAACTGTGCAAATGCCCAGAGTAGTGCCACCAAGACCGCCACCTCCAAAATATTCAGTAAAAGACCCTAGTCCATCAAAGAGAGCCTCTAGTGAGGAAGTGGTGGAAGAGGAGCATAGGCCACCAGGCTGGAGTAATTCAATATCCAAGGGTCTAGCTGTAGGTAGGGAAGATTTCTTAAATTTTTTTGTTTGTAGATGTTACGTTGGGACTATTTACCTTCTAAAGTAAGTTGAATTTTTCTTATTTATACTGGTACCCTGTTCAGAAGATACTGTTCTCCCACAATCGGTTGTAGCAATTGCGACACTCAATCGCAAAGTAAAATCGTGTCTGAAAGCTCGCCAATAGTAGTCGATAAGTAATCGATTTCGCAATTGTTACAATCTTTATTACTCCCGATTACCACGGAATCGCAACGGATTCCACAGGCACTGATTGGCTGAGGTCAAACAAAACAGGGCGACCTATATCGTTGCTAGTGATGTAAAGTATCAAAGTAAAAAGGTGTCTGAATGCTGTAGAAGTTTGCGAATGGTTGCGAACAATATGGATTACAACTGCTTACGACAGATTACATCGCAACCGGGTTTGAATAGGGTACAAGTCTAATGAGACTTACAGGTAGGGAGTAGAGAAGTAGTGAGAAAAAATCATGCTGTCACAGGAATTGAATCCAGGCTCATGGGATTGGGAGGCAAGCATCTTAACCACCAAACCATTCAACTTTGTGTGTTTGTCTATTTGATAACAAACTCCTGCATACAGATTTAGGTACATGCATCAGATTTTCACAGAATATTGCTGACATTGAATTGAAGCTTCTTTTTTGTTTTGGTACGATCCGGAGTGGGGTGTGGATGTGGCGACCATTTAAAGAAAAACACTCCACACTAGATATTTCAAAAGAGCTCTGATACACTGATCCGAATAAAAATTTTTTGAAGAGTTAAGTTACTAGACAACATTGATTTTTGATGACGATCCAGATTTGGTTATGAATTTGGTTAATTAAAATATAGATGTGTATAAGAGACAGGGGTGGGGGCGGTGGGGAGTTCATATGAAGTGATTACATCCAGACCTTAATCGTAAAATCTGATCAATGGATCAGAATGTGTTTGTTTGATAGCAGCCTCCTGCCTACATATAGGTCTTCATGTGTCAGACTTTCACAAGTGATTTCTGACTTGGATTTGGTGATGATCCGGAGTAGGTTGTGGATATGACAATCATTGAAAGAGAAAGTCCCAGACCAGATATCTCAAAAACTAATCAACTGAATCTGAATGCAACTGTCTGGAAAATACAAGGGAGAAATGATTAATTTTTAGTGACGATCTAGATTTGGGTGTGAATTTGGGGGTCATTTAAAGTGGTAATATCCCAGACCAAAAACTATCAAGTGGATCTGAACAAAACTCTCTAGAATGGTTTGTAATGGTCGAAGGAAGAAATGATTAAATTTTGGTGACAATTTGGAGTAGGGTGTGGATATGTGGCCTATATAAACTGTATGTCCCAGCCCTAAATATCTAAACAAAATTATAAATCTGAAAACCTTGGAAGGGTTTGTCATGGCCAAGAAAAACTATGCAATTTTGGTGACAATCCGGAGTAGGATTTCTAGAATGATTTGTCATGGTCTAAGGAACAATGATTGAAGGTTCTCAACGGCTACCAGATCGGTAGTAAAATCACACTTGTGGTGTGGTTATGACATTTGATTTGTAAGAGACGGGTCCCTGGGTTCGAATTTAAGTTGAGGTTGCGATTCTGTTTTCATTATAAATTACAGAACAAATAGTTGTATTGCATGCTATTAATGTTATTATTACCACTAGTATTATTGTTAATATAACATTAATGCCAGTATTGATTTGTGTTACAGGTGCTGTCTGGCTGAGTTGGGGACTTGGAAAAGGGGCAGAGATGACGGTCAAGTACATTGACAAGGGAAGCAAGAAGATGAAGGCCAGATTAAAACCTGCCGACAAGCCTACTGAAGTTGAAGAAAAGTACCAGACTGGGATGCAGTGTGCTAGAGCAGCCACTGGAGTAGCTGTTAAGGTAGGTCATGTTATGAGAACACCAAATTTGATCCGAGTCCTTCATGTATGGTGTTTTGGGCACCTGCTGTACTATTTTCCAATTACATTCTCATTTAACTTGTAATCACAGGATGTTAATGTGATTAACTTGGCTCAACAAATAGAGGGACCAAGGTAAAACTTTCCAAAACGGTAAAGCGGGGAAAATCAATAAAACAGACAAGCAGAAATTAAATATTTACGTCAGGTAGGGCAAAATTACACCTATACATGTTTCTCCTGACGCAAATCCAGTTATTGTCTAATATCCCATCACGACAATAACAATTACTATCAACACTGCAGTACCCGCTGCTTACTTGGACTCGAAGTCAACCCTGGCCATCAGACGCAAGCTCGGTGGTCTAGAGGTATGAATAATGCCAGGCTAGTGATCTGGAGATCGTGGGTTCGAGTCCCACCCGAGAACAACTTCCGATTTTTTTCGCAGTTGTTTTCAAATGTACTGAGTATTCGGTACACTTCCACGTCAGGTAGGGCAAAAATTACACCTATATAAGTGCCTAAAAGTAATACTGAAAATCAGATGGCCACAGGTAATCACAGATAGGCAAATAACAACACAAGCACAAGGCCCAACAAACTGCAAGGATATTAGCTGGGAAGTGAGATGAAGAGGTAGAAGTGGATAGGAATTGTACTGAGAAGAGAAGGTGATAATAGTCACAAGTCTTCATCTGGGTTGGATGAAATATTCAAATCCTTTGATAAGAAGCAAAGTATTAACAGTTGTCAGAATTGACAACTGTCAGAAGGGTTGACTGCAGTCATGATTTCCCGAATGACAATACGACTTTAAAAAAACAGGTCACAATTAAATTCTTTGACCTTAAAAGATTCGCAGATTACATAATTTTCACAATTTCAGCGACACTCATTTCACAAGAGCAAACAATGGTTCAACATTGACCCATGCATAAAAGCATAGCAGCTATTCCATATTTTTTTAGGTACATCACATAAAAATACAAACCTAAAGCAATTAAAATATCAAGTGGGCTTATGTATCATGGATGATCTTGTTTATGATTAAAACTGTCAACCTGTGATCTGCCTATTTGTGTGTGATATGACATCATCATGTCCTTATACTGTATGTAATGTATACACCCTGGTTGAATCCAGGGTGTATCACCAAATGACCAATTTGTTTGGAAGAGGAATGCATTTCTATTTTATTGCGATTTGTTATTTGTTTTGTTTGTTTTGTTTTTTGATAAAGAAGAGTTGTAAATACTGGGATACACAATTATTGTATTGTATGTCACTACAAAGTGTTATCCAAAAAATTCTAAACTTGTACTTAATATTTGTTTCAAGGTCAGCGGAGCTTTAATTGATGGGTTGTGCTACATCAGTAGACGTCTTGCAGAGGAGGTTGCCCCTCATATCCGCCAGCAAGGAGAGAAATATTTGAAATCTGGAGATGACAGCAAAGATGGCAAGCTGAGCAAGACACTGGATGGTGTAGTACATGTAGCCTCTAGTGGATTGCAAGGTGGGTATAGAGAAAAAAGAATTACAAGAAGTCAAAATATAAAGAAAGCTTTAGAGAATTATAGTTCTATAGAACTTACCAGAAGGACAGAAAAACAAATAAATGGTTTGGGAGCAGACAAAAATGACTGATGTGTTACTGACAGAATAGAGAACTGAATAATAATAATAGCAATTATAATAATAATATTAACATACATGCTTGTTTATTGATATTGAGGTCACCATTCTTCTGATTTCATATTTTTCAGGATTTATCCAAGTTTATCACACCCTAGAGACAGCAGCATTTGCATTAGCAAAAAGTATACAACTGGCAACAGTGGATGTTGTAAATCATAAGTGAGTAAATTGTTCTTTGCCAAGCAACTGGTTGAGCCCATTGAATGTATGAGAATTGATTTAGCCTGAATATCCCAATCGATTCAAATGGCTGAGTGGTTAGCAGGGGCGCTGCAGCCCACAGCCGTAATATTGGGCTGGTTACAACGGCATGCTCGCCTATGGTTCTGGTGGTAGAACAAGTCTTCTCGGATAAGGACTATCAACCGTAGACCCAGTATATACACTAGCTCATGAGCACTATAAAGAACCAGTACATCATTCAAATATCAAATATCTTTATCAAATATCTTTATTGGCAACCACAGTATACAATGATTGAATTATACAATAAAACAGTCAAAAATGTATAAAACATTTAAAAAAGTTTACAGGATCAATCAACACATTTATATTTATTTACATAGAAAAGGATTTCATTATTTATAAAAATATGCAAATTTTCAAAAGCAATTTAATCACATTCAAAACACAAACAAAACACATTTTACATCACGAATACATAGAACAGGATTTCATTATTTATAAAAAATATGCAAATTTACAAAAGGAATTTAATCACATTCAAAACACAAACAAAACACATTTTACATCACGAAAAAAAAACAAAAAAAAAAACGGGTAGCCAAACACATATGAACCCTTAGTGGCGAGGAAAGACATTAATCGAGTTCCTAGTCCACATAACAAGCGCCCTGAGCTTCTTATTTGATGGATACGGCGCTATATAAAACTACACTTTCATTATTGTTATTAATCAATGCAGCAAGCCATCTAGACCAATCAATTGGCTTATTCATTCAATAATGATATTAACACTGTCTTCATCTGAACTTTTTTGACTGTAGGTATGGAGATGCTGCTGCTCGTCTGACGGATGACGCCCTTGGTACAGTGGGTAACCTTGGGGTAGCAGCTTACAGAATTGACAACCTTGGCCTCAAAGCCATTGCTAAGCGTACAGCTAAGGATACCACTAAAGCTGTTGTTGCAGACTATAAAGAAAAACCAGCTCAACAGACTTTAGGTGAAAGCAAACCCAGCAGAACTGAAAATGGATCATCAGAGCACCGGTAAACTTACATGGTTAAGACAGGGTCTATGCAGTAAATTGATATCTATCATCCATCATGGTATAATGTTGTATCTTAACAACTTTTCCACATTCACTTTCCTCAGATCATACAGAGAGAGGAGTGTTGGTGAAACCTCTAACATCAATATCTGTTGGTAGATAGGTTTTGTCTTGCATTTCACCAACAGATTTGTGGGCAATTATTTCACTTCATTGAAGGCCTGTTTCATAGAGTGATACAAAGGCATGTGACAAAAACTGTCTATGTTACAGTGCAATCAATTTACACAGGGTACAGCAAGTACAATTATGCATGCATCATTACAGTTTGTTCTGCAGTTTAGCTGCATGCTTAGTAACTAAAGAATTGTTGTTTAGAATAATTTTTGTTGAGTTACAGTTTTTTGGAAATAATGATTTTATGCTAACACCCATATTTCTAAAATGTGACTCGCTCTGGCAAAACCTGCCATTTGTTTTTTAATTTCCCACAAGCACCCAAAACATTTGAGAATCAGAATTTTGAACATTTTATAAAAGAAAGTATATTCAAGAACATTTCTGCAAAGTATCGATCATTAAAACTAACTGAAAAGTATATAAAAATTATTTTTAAAATACAAGTCTAAATTATATACTATTGATTTTGGAAGCTGTTTTCTCAAAATTTACATAGCTGATATCCAATTAATTAAATATTCATAACTTTGCTAATACTCAAATAATAAACACTGTTTTAAAGAAGAACTCATGCAAAGTCTAAAAACCCCAAAAACTCAATTTTGAATTTTCCTACAAACGGCTGGTTTTTGCCAGAGCCGGTCACAAATAATGTTCAAACTACAGGTCTTCCTCCAATTAAAGACCACTTTTGGGACCAGGGTTTCCATGGTGTTTAGTAGCTTTGCTCTATAATTGGAACAGTAAATTCCGACTGCAGTAAATTCCGAACACAGAAAATTGGAGGTGGTTTTTAATTGGAGGGGTCTTTAATTAGAGGGTGACCTGTAGAATTTTAACTAGTCCTCTGAATTTGTATTCATAATCAACATTGCTAAAACATTGTTTTACTATGACTAGTAAAAGTCCTAGTTGTAGTCGATTCTCAAACTAACCAATAATAAGAGGTCATTTATTAATAGCAGATGAAGTTTTTAAGATCTGGGAGGGGTCCACACAGCCCTGGGACTGGCATCTCCCTCCTTCCCCCCCCCCCCCCCAATAAAATGAGAAAAAGATAGGGGGGAGAAAAAAAAAGGAGACAAAGGGTGCACAGTACTCCAAAACAAGCTATTTTTTAATTTAGATTCCACATACCAGTGTATATTGCCAAGAAATTTTAAACAAAAATACAATATGATCAGGTTCTTTTCTTTTTTGGCACTATTACGTGCTGCTGTCATGCTCGGTGTAAATAGGCTTTTACTATTATTATTATTATTATTCTATAATAATTATAGAACAATTTCATCAGTTAAGGTATAAATGGACATTTCTGATGTGTGAAAGTATGGAATGATGCTTATAAAATACAATTTTTTTAATAATATATTTAGTTTACATTAAAAAATATAATTTATATTTTTTTAAACTATTATAACATATAAGAGATATACAGTGTGTTTATATGGGCATTCATAATGGGATGCCCATCAAGGTGGTGGTGGCAATATATACTATAAGAATGACTAATATACATTATAAAAGTTGAATTTTACAATTGTAGTTATTATTTCATAGTTAATTTGTTATTACTATTTTTAATTTTATTTCCATGTTTACTGGCTTTTCTTTATAAGCAATATTTGTATATGCAATATAAATATCAATATGCAGGTATTCTTTTAAATAATACCTGATTTATAATATTTATTTATTTTTATCTGAAGAGCAAGTTAAAGATTTAAAGTACTGTAACAATTTCTGAATTTATAGGCTTTAGTCGTTACATTTTTATAACATTATTACAAGGTCATTGAAGCTTATAATCAAATCAAACTACTGTATTTTAAATTTAATTTTTCTATTTAAATTCTATAATTCATAATTTAATTTTATGGCAAACATTGTTATAAAACAGCCTCATATCTGTCACAGGGGGCAAAGCTGAAATACAAAAAAAAACAAAAAAAAAAACAATAATAAAATACTCATTGAGACAATATTTACATTACAAATTTTAACAGGAATTGCCAAGAGAATTTTACTTCAGAAATTGGTCAAAGAATTATTTTTCAGTTGGTAACACTGAGTTTATTATTGCTTTATATTTATTTATATTTTGAGCTCAGTCAATTGAGTTGATGTATGCCATCATTCTTTAGATCAAAACAATTACTCTCAGAGGCTTCATTTGTCACGATATTTGACTGTCATTTTGGTGTAATGAGGAGAAGGGTTGGGAAATTTAAAGTATGAAATGTTTTTGGGGAAAAGTGATGGGGAAATTTATTTTTTCAGCTTATCCCATTTATGAAATATAGGACAGACTATATGAAATTGTGTTCTTCATTTAATTGGTTAGATTTCTATCATAATGCAATTCCACCTATTTTTTTTCACTCGTGCTGTAGACTTTTGACAAAATTTTAGGCAACAGAATTTTTGTTTTAAATGAATCATATAGCGAAAATCATCATATGCAAATTTGCTCAAATTGTCATGAATTCCTACTTGACATATAGAACATAAACACCGTTAACAATGTTGTAACATAACCCACAAATACTTGTATTTCATGTAAAGGTTTAACAAGAATCTGGTCTAAACAACACCATAACACTGGTTTCAATAACCTCCCTATCCTCTTACATACGAAAGCCTTCGCCTTCTCGAACATTCTCTATTGTACCTTCATCAGTCGGTAGGCTTATACCTTCTACACTACGCTATATATAACCTTCTAACCTCTTAGGCGAGACGTTTTTTACCATGTTTAGCGAACCCGCCGAATGCGAATATTGATGATTTCGAATAAAATAAAAATTTTATTTTTGGCCTATTAGCGCACCCGCCACCATGAAAAATGGAAATTTCTGAAAAGAAATACAAATTTTTCTTTATTTTTATTACGCCCTCTGCTGCCTTGAAATCTCCAAAGATAAGATACAGTATGTATATTTCTTCCTAATTATATAAATTTGAAGCATTTAACCATCCCATTTTGCATTCAACAATAGAATTTTATTTTTATTTTCTCCATCAGGGTGTTTTTGGCAAAACTATTTGCTAAATAAGAAAACAAAATTTTATTTTCATTTTTATTCCGCCTTCTCTGATGATCTTTAAAAAAAATCAGAACGCGAAACAAGGAATAAAAAATGTGTCGCCTTATCTCAGCTTCTACATGGTGACTGTTTACCAAAGTGATCGACAGTAATTGATAAATCTGACTTAACAATTTGGATCCTTGATCAGTCAAAATTTTTCAGGCACCTTTACTCTAGAAAACAACTTTCTCCAGGCCAAAAGAATATCTGTTTGATCCTATCCAACGTCTTTTTCTACCCATGTGACTTGCCAGTGGAATATCATGTGAGACTTTCAACACACTGTTACGACACGGTTTTAGAACCACTAACTGTTCTATTGGTTCAGACTGGCAGTTAGGAAAAATTTTTCAGGCACCTTTACTCTAGAAAACAACTTTCTAACTCCAGGCCAAAAGAATATCTGTTTGATCCTATCCAACGTCTTTTTCTACCCATGTGACCTGCCAGTGGAATATCATGTGAGATTTACGACACGGTTTTAGAACCACTAACTGTTCTATTGGTTCAGACTGGCAGTTAGGAAAACCTGTCTGAATGATATGCCGTCTTTACAGACTATTTGTATATCCTCTTTCTCTGTCTGCACTAACTGTTGTAAAGGGGATCCAAGTTTTCATCCTTGATCTTATACTTCTTAATTCTATCTACACCTATGTCCCAAATATCTAACTCTCCATTCTGCCTACACTTGGCCTCCACTTTTCTTTTTGCAAACTCTTTCCTGACCTTTCATTTTTCACTTTAGCCTTGTACTTTAAATTCTCTCCTTAGGGGATTGTTCCTAAACATTCCATCCAAATGTCCAAACTCAACTCGAAAATGTGAAACTTTTGATTCATCTAACTGCATTGAAACTACGCCACAATCCTTTTCCACCTTCAATTCTGTCTATTCTCTTAAACCTATCATTCCTAGCCTGAGGTTTCTCCATATTTTTCTTGTGTCTCCATGTCGCCTGTGACATTGCTGATCCTGTCTATCCATGATCCGGCTGTTCTAGTTGCTGCTGTTGAATTTGTTGCATAAATAGCAGCAAGTCCTTAGTAGACAAGTCACTGTCTGGAAGGCTAAGTCCCCCAGGTACCACAACATTTTCTGTATCATGTTTTAGTAATGTCCATCATCTACAAACTCTTCCTCGTAATACTGTGTTGCCTAGGTGTTACCAATTGTTTCTCGGACATGAGGTCGCACTCTCCTTCAGAGGCAGTCTCCTCATTCTGCAGGTCTTCACATAGTAGTCGCCGTGCTTTCACAACTGGTTGTTCGGATTCTGAATCTGATACCCCTGCATGTCCATGCATGTGGGAAAAGCATCTGCCTTTAGCCTTGGTTTTACGCTTTGGTTTTTCTTTTTATGTTATCCCATATTTTAAAATAATCTGAGCAAAACTTTTGTATTTGTGGTTAAAGTGACATGCTTCTTGCTCCTCTTTATATTGTCAAACCATTTGTTTAATAATAGGTTTGTTATTAACTGGTATCGCGTGGAATGACAAATCAGATCGCAACTCAGAGTTGTTTAGTGCAACCATATGCAACACAGTGATGATTCATTATTTTCTTTTTCTGAACAATACTGGAAAACCAACCCAAAATGAACAATAAGAAGTAGGTACTGTAACAACATAAAACTGCCCTGATTGGGCATAATGCTTGGTAGCATATTATACAGCATAAATAATTCGACTAAAACAGACTCTGCACTTCCACTGATAACTTTATTCAATACTAAAACCTGACTGACTTACTACTTCGACTGATACTTCCTTATAGTCACCTAAACCACACCCACACCCATCCCGCTGCATATTAATTAGAGATGTTGGACCTCACAAAGGATAATACATCACTGTCACTATCCACAAACACATTACTGACCAACAGGTCGATATATAATGTACATTAACGTTCCATACTGTAGGTTAGCCTTGTGGTTATGTTCCCATATTTTCGCTGCCTTGATGTGACTATCAATTAAAGTAACTTAGTTGCTCCCATAATGGATATCTTTAACTGGAATACTTCAAAACAAATACCCTTACAATACTTTAAACTTAAACTTAAAACGTAACCTTTTAAAACAACTTCAATATACTTAACAATCAATGTCAAAGTGCATTTTCTCAAATTTTTGTACTATAATGTAAACTGACTTTTTTTAAAATACGTAATTAAATAGTTTTACTATCGGACGACCATAACGACTCGTGTTTGGAATGTCGACATTATCTTGTTCATTATCACTAACATTAGGATTGATAACAGAATCTGGCAATGCGTCGTCATCGTTCGTTTTGTTTGTTTCGTGTGTCTATATCATTTCTATCAAATTCAAATTTATCATCGCCAAGTCGTTTTAAATTATTGTCATGAACTACAATTCTCTTTCTACCCTTTTTAATTACATAATCTGGACATTTATTTTCCACTACGACATATGGTCCATCAAATTGTGGTGCTAACTTTTTGCTGATTCCCTTCTTAACATAATGTTTAGTTAAATCAATAATTTGTCTCCTACATTAATCTTTCCTCTTAGGGTTATTCTGTCAGGTAGAGTATGCTGATAACATTTTATGTTATCTTTAGCTTCTTTTACATGCCCTTTTATGGTGTTGTTTAAATTACTAATATATTCACGGCATACGAGGATTGCGACCAAATGTTAATAAATAAGGCAAAACTTTAGTAGTACTATGCACTGTAGATCTATAGGCCAATACTACAGGCTGAATCCACTTATCCCAATCTTTTTGATCTTCTCTTACATAGTGACTAATACTACCACACAACGTTTTATTATATCTTTCAGTTTGACCATTAGTTTAGGGATGATAGGCGGAAGTACTTAACTTAGTTATTCCTAATTTAGTACATAATAATTTAACAATTTTGGATTCAAAATTAGTTACCTGGTCAGTCAATAAAGTTTTAGCGATAACGTATCTACAAATATAATCAAGTAATAATTTATCTGCTACTGTTTCAGCAAGTTGATTAGGTAATGGGTAAACTTCAACCCATTTGGTGAACAAATCAGACACCACTAAAACACACTTATTACCTTCACTACTTAAAGGCAATGACAAAATATCGGCTGATATTTGGGCAAAAGGCTCCCCAAGTACATTTATGGTTGATAATTTTTCTTTATGACGCCTATTAGTTTGCTTAATTTTAGCACAGCTAATACATTGTTTACACTTTACTGTGACAAATTATTTTAACCCATACCAGTAGCATAATTCAGCAATTCGACTTACGGTTTTCTTTACTCCAAAATGACCAGAAGCTGGTATGTTATGAGCTAATCGAAATATTTCATTTCGTAAAGATTCAGGAATTAAAATTTGTGGTTTCTTATCGATATCACTTTGTCTGTAAATAATTCCCTAATTTAACTTAGTTTAACGATTTCATTGTCTCTTAAATAAAAGTTCAATTCTTCTGAGTCTGATTTATTTTTACAATATTTTCAGTGTCCATAATATAATTGCCCAACCATCTAAACATGTCATCAATTTCAGTTTCACTGGCAATACTGCTAATATCGTGTTCTGTGGTTCGTCTTATCCGCATGCTGTATGTCTATACTGGGATAAAAACATAGCCCACCTAGTTAGGCGTTCTTGTGGGTCTTTTAAACTACTTAGCCATTTTAATGCTTGGTGATCAGTAACTATAGTGAATTCTCGTCCTAACAAATAATAGTGAGCTTTCGCATCAGCAGCACGGATGTACTCTACTACTGAAAGCAATGAACTGTGACCGTCCTTGATACTTGTCCGGTTGATCATTCGCAGTTTTGCTGCTTCATTTCGATGACCAACGAACGGTAATGAGTGACGTCATTTAAGCTGACACTAGACATCCTCTTTTGTAAACATGGCGAGTCTTCATAGTGTACGGGACGCTGTTATAAATATTGAAGAATGTCTTTTGTTGTTTGACATCGACTAACCCACCAATCCTAATTTTCAGTATGGGAGATACTCTTTTTAATATTGACAGATTTAATGATGATGAATGTAATAGCTACTTCAGGTTTGTAACTAGGCCTAGCCTAGGCCCTACTTCTCTTCTTCTACTTCTAGCCTAGGGTAGGGGGCCTATGCGTCTAGCCCGGCCTATATTATAGGCTAGGCCTGTACTTTTTATTTTATTCTATTGACATTTTATTACTTATTAGGCCTAGGCATAGCCTAACTTATGATGTTATTATAATATAAGGAAAGCTCAATATTCTTACATTTAGTTTAGTCTAGGCCTACATCCTTTTTCCTTTGCCTTGTCCTTTTGGGACAGGTGTATCAATTAGCCTACATAGACAGTAACTCATACACTATTTGTCAATGTAGCTTTTCCAGAAAGTGGATTAATCCTTTGAATACACTATAGTATGTGTATTTTGTAATTTTTTTTTTTCTTCACACAGGTTCAAAAAGAATATCTACCTTCTTAAAAACGCATTACGGATTCCAGAGAGAATCGTGCTGGACATAGATCAACCATGAGTGGACTGGAGGCCTTGTGCATTAGCCTTCAGCACTATGCATACCCATGCCGCTATGGGGACCTTTCCAAGGATTATGTTAGGTTGGTGCCCCAATTGTGTCTTGCTTTTAAGTGGGTCACAGAGTTCATATACCAGACACACCAGCATTTAGTAACATCTTTAGATCAACCATGGCTGTCAAGTCCGCATCTAAGTACAGTTGCTGATGCTATCCATGAGAAAGGAGGAGCACTTAGCAACTGCTGGGGCTTCGTCGATGGTACGTCGGTAAGGCCAATATGCAGACCAGGTATATACCAGGAAGTCATGTACAATGGACACAAGAGGATCCATGCCAACAAGTTTCAGGCTGTAACCACCCCAAATGGACTCATAGCCCATCTATTTGGACCCGTGGAAGGAAGAAGTCACGATGTCTACATATTGCGCGAGCCCGGGCTGCTGCCAGAACTGGAGGCCAGATCATATGATCCAGATGGTAATGTTCTCTGTATCTATGGAGACCCAGCGTATCCTTTGCGTCCCCAGTTACAGGCTCCTTTCCCAGGCAACAATCATCAAGCATTCAATGCATCCATGAGCAAGGTTCGCATCAGTGTAGAGTGGTCATTTGGTGAAATTGTTAACCTGTTCAAATTCACCGATTTTAAAAAGACACAAAAACTACTTCTAAGTTCATGTGCAAAATTGTACATTGTTTCTGGTTTGTTGACAAATGCCCATTCATGCATGTACAAGAACAATACTTCAACATACTTCGGACTTGATCCTCCCACTCCAAATGAATATTTTCAAAATGAGTAAAAATACACATTAATTACTGGAAATTATATATATGAGACCATCAAGTTTATTATTATTATTATTCTTATTATTATTATTCTTATTATTATTATGTTGTAATATTTTATGTGCCTCTTTATTGTGCATTTGTATTTTGTAATATTTTTTGCATACCTTATATCATATGCTGTTTTGCATAATTGATTATGAGGTTGAACTATTAGTCTTATTATATAAGTGGCACTATGTACACGTTTAGATTAATATCATTTAATATTATCAGTATAGTTTATTATATTATTATTTAATTTTAATTTATGAATACTGTGTGCTTTTTAAAATAATCTTACTTATTAATTATATATATATATATATATACTAGTATATATATATATATATTTTGAGACAGTATACTAGTATATATATATATTATTAATTAATAATATATATATATTATTATATATTATGTCTGACATAATTAATGTTGAACTATTGAATCCCAACACGATGGCGTTTATTTCAATAATTGGAGTATGTATTATACTTTCTTATCCGAGATTAGTCAGTGGACCTTTCAGTTATTAATTTATGTCTAGTATAAAATAATATGAATTGTTTAATATAGCATTTTAAAGTAAACTTTTTTGTCTGGTTTAATAAAGAAGACATTATCTCGATACTGTGTCAATACTCTTTAATTTTTCAATCTTCCAGTGCAAAACTATTGTATATATGAGAATAGTTACTGAGTACTGTTTAAAGTATGATTTATTATTTTAGAGTAAATTATATTGAAGCAAAACTGATTTCCTTTGTCTCTTTATTGTGTATTTAAGATCAACAGGAAGTACAAATTTGAAACAGTATGCATTGTATAATAATTGTAGGAAGGGAAATCACTGGAATTATTACTCTAAAGAAAAACTCAGAAAATACTTTTAAGTTAAAATACATTGCTATGTATTCATTATTTCTTTTCCAAATACTTCATGAAGCTCATCATCATTAGTTGCATTTGTTGGTTTTGCTGCTGTGCTTGCTGCTGCTGTTTGGAGAAGCTGCTGCTGCTGCAGTTGATGTTGCTGTTGAATGAACTGTTGCTGAATCTGCTCATGCTTTCTCTCTCGCTCCAAGTCCTCCAATCGTTCCTTCTCTTCCTGCTCTGTTTTCCAGCATAACTCAATTTTGCATCCATCTCCATTTTTTTTTACCATCAGCCCCAATGTCTTATTGCCACTTCGTCTTTTGTTGACAGATGAATTTTCTTGATGTCTAAAGAGAGAAATACACTTACAATCATGCAAAACTTGATGCTTATCTAACTAGCCATTTGTAAGTGTAAGGTCATGAACAACAAAAAATCAGACAATGGTTGTTTAATATTTTAAGGAAAACGTTTTCTGGTCATAGCTCGAATTTCATAACATTGAAGTTAAATTATTCAGAATGTCTGGTACTTTTATGCACTTTCAACCAATAAGTACACCTCAGAGTTCACATTTTACATATTTGTACATTTATATGTGATTCTGTAACTAATTATTAAAAACAAAATTTATATACAGTACTATCAAGTAACATAGTTTATTTTATACCATTTCTGTGATTCACCAAAGGTCTCGCAAGCTCTTTTGTGCATTTCTGCCCCATGCATCTTTTTCCTCTCTTCATCATCCTTTGTTTTTTTCACTGCTTCAATGTCCATTTCTTCTTGAACCAAATCTTCCACAATTTCCCTTACTTTCTTTTCATCAGGTGTTTCCTTTACTTCTATTCCACTTGCCGCCCTTTCTTTCTTGTTATTACTTTTCACCAATGTTGTAGTCAAGACCAGGCCATCCGAGACCAAGACCACACATCCCGAGACCGAGACCAAGACCGAGAGGACCGAGACCAAGACCAGAAGTCCGAGACCAAGACCCACAATTTTCGAGACCAAGACCAGCGTGTACAGTAATAGGATTTTTAAACAGCTGAATAAAATGAACAATCAATGAAGAATGTAATAAATGGTATTTTTATTAAATAAGAGTATATTCATGTACAGTACAGTACAGATGCTTATTGCTACAAATAAACATACTATCACATAAAAAAATACCTATCTCAGCGTACATAAGAGTTGCTTATTTGCGTTTTTAGCTTTATGTTCATATGCCTTATATATTGCCTAGTGGCAAAACATGCTCATTGCACTTGAGAAACATTAGCAACTCCACCATGCGTGAAGAGAGCTTTGCACGATGTGGCCGCATTATGATTCCACCTCTACTGAATGTCCGTTCCACTGGGGCACTTGATGCTGGCACAGGCAACACCTTTTGGGACAAGGCGTGGAGGGCAGGAAATCTGTCTTTGTTCTCCTCCCAGAAGAAAACAACATCTTCCCCTCCTACAGTACATGATCACCCTCTAGGAAGCGGTTGAGCTGGGCCCTGACAGTTTCTTTTTCACCGCTCTTGCTTCGTTTCCGGATATTTGAGTATTTTGCCTTCAGCCTTGGCACCTTTACGAAGTGGGCCCTGCCTCCTGATGAGCTGTTGCTTCCTCACGCACCCTCATAATTTGCTCAGCTTCTGAGATGACCAAAATAAAAGCTGTTATTTACATTTAAAAATTTATTCATAAATTCATCAATTAAGTTATTTAAAAAAAATCGATCAACCAGATAAAAGTATAATCATGTCTAAAAATCAAATACAACATAAATAATGCACAGAATTAGTTGTACTTTAACTCACCATCTTAAAATGTTCGAATGATTGAGGCCTGGCGGTGGTTCAGCACAAAACAATCGTTACACAAGCAGTTCAAGTTTCACAAAAGAGCGCTGATTGGCTGCTTGAGTTCGTCGGTCTGTGAATTTCGATGGACGATAAATTGGCCAAAAACAGTTCATGATTTTGCCATGAACGAGAAAATGCGAGGGTTGTGCATGCGCAGATCGATTTTCATGTCAGATTAACGCTCTTGAGTCCGTCCGTCGTAGATGCGAAAGCTCTGTAATGTCTAAACTTTTCAATTCCACGAATCACTCCAAGAAGTTCAAGCTCCGTTGTGGAATATTATGTTTCGGGTTGCGTCCATTTTCCAGAAGCATAAGAAATTACATGTTCAATTCATCTATTCTCGGCAATGGATGAGAGTCTTTATTAGTAAGTTCATTTTTGAATGAAAAAAAAACGGTGGTAATCAACGCAAAATCGGTATTCACCATTCTTTTTCTTGACTAGTGTACTACTGGGCTTGCCCATGGCGAATTACTGTCTCTAATAACATCCATATTTTGCATTTCTTCAATTTGGGAACGAACAACTTCCCTTAAGTGAACAGGGGTCCTGGTCTTTGTTTTACTGGGCCTCCCACTACCGTGATATCATGTTCGATTCCCTTTACATTTCCTATCTCACCATTATGTGAGAATACATCTTCATGCTGATTTAATAAGGCACTTAGCTTAGACTTGTCTTCGTTTTATCAGAGAAAATTCTTGAGTGGACATATGTTTACCACATTCGGTACAATCTGAGAAGGATAATTTAATATAGTATTTTTATTTTATTTACTGGTGTATTGTTGTTGATGTTGTTTAGGCGATATCACTATCATTATCATCCTCATTGTCATAGTTGATATAATATTAACAAGTTCCATATGTAAACAATATCAAAAATAAGTTTAATAAAAATACCAATAATACTGAAAAATGAAAAAAAAAATGATACAGTAATGATAATATTGTGTACAGTAATTAAACACTTACCGGTATATCTGTTTATTGAAGAAGAACCAAAATTTTCCTGACTATTTCAATTTTACCAGGGATTAGATCTTCATTTAAGTGTCATGGAGAAAATTCCTCTACATAATTATCAATAAATCAGTTATAAAATATCGTTTTAGTTTTTTAAGCAATTTAATACAGAGACCATACATCTTCCAGGTTCTGAAGCATAACATAGTACCTTTGCCTTGAGTAATAACATATCTCTGTCCATACAGGCTTCAAATCTTGAAATTTCACAACTACAGTACCTTGTTACTTCAAGAACATGAAAAGAGTTACTTTGTGATTTGAAGTGATGAAGCATGTTGCAAATATTTTCCCTGGTCAATGACCGTAGTCGAACCTATTTGTATTAGTTCTGGTTCATCGTATGATTTTCATATTCTATGCCTTTGATTTTTGCTTTCTTTGTTAACATGACAGTTATGTTCTCATCCATATTGCCAGTGTGTGCCAGTATACTTTATTTTGCTGCAATGAATGTCCCTCCTCAACCTCACTTCTACGATACAGATATATTTCAGACCTTGATCCTATGGGCCCTAGCATCTGCAGGCACATCTAGTTTTGGTGGTAAAATGACAGAGTTTTTGTTATGTTCCTAAAGTTAAACCAATTCTGTAGTTTAAAAGAACAATTTTTGAATACAGTAGCCAGCAAAAGATGGTAAAGGCTCTGCATTTCAGCATCTTTAAGCAAAGGTTTGGATTAAAAATCTTTATCAATTGTTAATTCGGCAAATGTTTCTTGCCAGTAGGGAGGTGGTGTTTGACTAAGGAATCATCCTCTTGGTAACCCACTGTTGATGAAGATTTTAGAAATTGGACTACCGTAATTATCTTTATAGCTTGCTTGAACTCTAATGCTGATAATACTGGATTCCTCATTCTGACACACTCAAAGACTCCTGGGTAAAACTTGATGTCAGAATGAAGCTGTATCCATTTCCTAGGAGCTCCTCTTGAACCGCCAGCTTTAAAGTTGTTGTTCAGACTACACCTGTTTGAACTGGCTGCCAATATCCTTGAGTTCCAATTTCAATTTACTATAAGCATGTTCCTAAAGTTAAACCAATTCTGTAGTTTAAAAGAACAATTTTTGGCTTCAAAACGCATGCACCAATGCCTGTGAAGTGGTCCAAAATTACAAAGCTGTGATGGGAAGTGAATTAAATACAGTAGTGAAATTTTTGCTTAAATGATTCATCTGGATATAGTTCAATAAATGTTTTAACATTTCAGCGATTCAATAGTGTCTTGCGATACCACATGAGTTACAGGTTAGGAGTGTTATTTGTTGGCATTGAATATAATTTATCCAGTGCTTGTCATCTTCTTGTATGAAGTCGGCCAGAGTGAAAGGCATTGTGGTAATCAGTATTTTTTATTGATGCTGCTGTCTGTCCAAATGTTGTATTATTGTTTAGCTGTTTCCCATTTATGATCTGAGGTTTATCCTTGGCATCTTGTGTTGAGTAAGCAAAATTTAGAATTCTAGTATTAAGGTCATCAAGTGAAATATATTTTTTGTCCAAAAATATTTTTATTCAGTTAGCGCTGAAGTTCAACCTGAATTATTCCTTCTAGCACATGCATTGGGTTGTGAAGCAAGCATTTTGTCAAAGAATACCATGAAGAATACTTCTGTTTGTACCCTATTCTTCAGACCAATATTGACAGTCTTTTTACTATTTTTAAGTGATTTATTCGATCTCTGTGCTCGGCCTCATCCGTCATTTGACATTTATCTGCAGACCATATTTGGCTCATTGCATCATTATCCACTTTCTATGTTCTATAAGTCTTTGTGGCACACCCCGCACCCTTCTTGAATCCACCAATCATTTGAGATCTAAGAATGTCGACAAGTGCAAAGTCCTCTTTTCAATACCAGTAATTTGTAGATCAGTACCATTATACAGTTTTACAATGTCTGCTTTGAAAGTCACAAATAACTTTTCAACCCCAAATAGTTTCAGATCTTTTGTTTTACCATGCTAAAAGTTGGATAACTATAACTTGCTGCTATATTTTAGTGGAATATTAAGAATAATCCAATATTTTTTTTAGTGTAGTAAATGCCAGGGTACAATGATGCTTGTTGGTGAGGTCCACCAAAGTGTACACTTCCGTCTTCAGAATAAATTTTAGAGACATGGATTTCTGTAAAAACCTGTGAACAACTAAAAAATTGGGACTTCTAGATGGCTGGAAATGGCTGGAATGGGAAAACTAGGCCTATTTTTTTTTCTTTTCATCCTGCTGCCCGACGAGTTTTGGCCGATGGTGGGGGGGCTTGACCAAACCGATGGGGGGCTTAAGCCCCCCTGCTCCCTGGCGCCGCCACTGCAAGGTGGTATTGCTAGATGACTTGTTACGCTTTCAGCAAATTTACTAGACTTGTCAGGAGACCACTTTGATTACCAAACCTATTTTCACATGGTCGAAACATCAGTTCTGCTTTGTGAAGGATGTAAGAGTATAATTTTCAGCAAGGACAAGGCATCCCTCCTTGTATTCTTTCAACTTTGTTAGTTTGCTGTATACACTATTTAATGTTCATTTTCAATTCTCTCCAAACAAGTTGGACAATGTTTATCATGTTTTCGAACTTGATGAATACAGTAGCCAGCAAAAGATGGTAAAGGCTCTGCATTTCAGCATCTTTAAGCAAAGGTTTGGATTAAAAATCTTTATCAATTGTTAATTCGGCAAATGTTTCTTGCCAGCAGGGAGGTGGTGTTTGACTAAGGAATCATCCTCTTGGTAACCCATTGTTGATGAAGATTTTAGAAAATGGACTACCGTAATTATCTTTATAGCTTGCTTGAACTCTAATGCTGATAATACTGGATTCCTCATTCTGACACACTCAAAGACTCCTGGGTAAACCTTGATGTCAGAATGAAGCTGTATCCATTTCCTAGGAGCTCCTCTTGAACCGCCAGCTTTAAAGTTGTTGTTCAGACTACACCTGTTTGAACTGGATGCCAATTTCAATTTACTATAAGCATGTTTATTGGTTTTACTTTATGCCATCACTGGATGCCTTCATGACATAGTATCAAACCACTTGTTACAGAAGTCTAAAAAGCAAGCAGTTGATACCATTTTCTGAAAGTTGGATGGCTTTGCACAAGATTCACTTAATGTTGCAGCTAGCTTCAAATCGTTACCCTTCAGAAAGGATACAAGTCCCTTTACAGGTTGAACACTTACAGTTTTTGAACTAAACTTGAATTTCATGACTATGTCTTTAGACCTACTTAATGTGAGATGTTTCCCATTAACCAATGCTGCCTTCAGGTTTTTGATATGTGGAACATTGCATGAAATACTGTATGCTTTCCAGGTTCACAAGGTGGAAAAAGTTTTAGCTCATTTTATTGTTCATCTACTGTAGTGAATAAACTTCATGAAATTAGCTTTCCCAGTCCGATGATGAAATTGTCTTGTTGGGAAACTGACAGTGCTTTGAAGAAATTATACCAAAATGTCTTCACATGGCTCCATTTGAACTATTTCCTGTGCTTTTCTGGTCTAAGTTATGACTATGGCAAGAGCCAATCAGCATTTAGTATGTTGACATCCCCACGAAAACAGCTAAAGCTAACACCATACTGAAACCCAGCTTGCAGAGACATCTCATCAAGAGTCAAAGAACACGCCTCTTTTTAAATTTCATCATGTCTACTTCATCAAGCTAAACAAATCTCTTCTACTGAAAGTACGAAGATGGTAATGTTTGATTTTTCTGAAGCAACTGACAGCCTGTAACCCACGTACAAGCAAATTTTAACTGTAAAGCTTTCTTCACAGTAACCACTAAGTACCACATCTACTTTCTTTACTTTACATCCTTAGCTGAATCAAAGCATTTTTTTCTGATAAGTACTTTTTCTCTTCTCTCTTGCAAAAGTGTTCTTGAGTTGGGCAAGGAGGTTTATCTTCCATCATTTTGATGTCTGGTTTAAAAGTTGTTAAAGAGTTCAGTCTTTTCAGGAAACCACTAATCCACTAACTTCTGAAAGGTCAGTGTCAACAACCAAGTTGGATGTTTCTATGAATGCAAGCCATAAATAATTAAAATTAGTAACATGAAAGATCTAAAATTTACAATCTTTATCTACAGCTCAGCATAGCAACAGCATAACAACAGGCAGAAAAAAAATTTGCCACCAGGAATTGTCAATAACTAGCAAACTTTCGTTATCTTGTTCAAGAACCAATCTGCCGAAAGTTTCAGTTTTCTGACTTTCTTGCACAAGCATTCAAAACCCGAGTGCGAGAACCCGAATCAAGCACCAGAACTGAATGTATTTACTACCATTTTTTTTTAAATGTGATTATATTCTATATTATATTTTAGCATTTCTTTGCCTCAATCAGTTTGTGGTTTGGTGACGGTGATATTCCGTCAACTTATTAAGTTACGGTAACTAATGAAGATTATGGACAGAGTTTAACTTGTGTAATGAGCCTTGAGACTCCTTAATTTCAATAGCAAAAACTTACCAAATCAACATACAAATACAGGTACTGTTTAGATTAGGGAACAGAGCACAATTTAACATCTACGTCCAGTCAAATTGGGGTCGCCAGTCGTTCGCCCCTAATTTTTCTCTACCCAAATGCTTTCCAACTTTTCTAATTAACATATCAAGGCAAGAGTTGATCAGCATTTAGAATGATAACTTTGGGAAGAAAACTAATTAACTGTTAAATATAGGTTAGTTGTAGTTGACTTTTAATGATTAGTATAACACAGTTCCTTTTAGTACACTGCAAACTTTTATTCACACAAACTGTACGTGGGTTACAATCAGCTAAACTCCAGGTTTCAGATGTTAGAGAACCCTTTTTGAGTGGAGTCAGCTCGGCTCTGTACTTTCTTCTGTGTACTCCTAACTACTAAATTGAATATAACTACTCACTCAGTGATATGGGGGTGTTTGCCTATAATTATACTTTAGGTAATGGGGGTGTGTCTCAAGTAAGTCACCCCATACTTTTAGAGTTTCTGATTGGATCAAAGAGAAATTCTTTTTCTATGATTTAGTAACTTGTTTACCAAAAACTGCTAATTAAGATGTATCACAAATTTCAGAGCTTAGGCTCAAAACTGACAATCATAAATTCATAGTGTGAGAAACTGACTAGGGTAAAGTTATACAACGTCCAGTTATATTATAAGATTATCTGTATACTCAAGTTGACCATTAAAACTGTCAAACCAATTTAAGGCATTTATCATGTGAAGGATATCGATTCCAATGGTTATGCAAGTTATACCATTAAACCTTAATAACATTACATAACATATCAGGCAAGAGCCAATCAGCATTATTTATGTTAACCAATTTCATACAAGGGTAAATTGAGTGATATAGACTACCAATTTTGTTAAATTACTGCTCGATTTCCTCTTGGTATTCTTTGTGTTTCTTAGACTCGTCATAATCTTCTGATTCGGTTTATAGTTTCTTTCGCTTCTTGGGGAGGAGAAGCACCTGTTCGCCCTGAGATGTGAGTCGGCTGTCAGCTGTTCTTGGGCAATATCTTCCAGCAAGGAGCATGATCCCAGTGACTAATTTCAGGCAGCACTGCTAGGATGCTAGCCTATCTCCTTCCTGGACTGGTAGTTGAGTGGGCACCTCGTCCGGTTTCTTCTCCTTCTGTTGGTTCCAGTGCTCGTGAAGGTCCACTTCAGATTTTGATTTGAAACTCCCACCGCAAAATTAACGGAAGCTTCTGAGATGTCTCTCATTCCTGTGATGTTGGAGTGGTGAAGCCAACGGAAATTTGGCACAACACTTCTTGCATTAGAACATGGCTGTTAAATATCATTGGGGACTCAGTCATTACAAATTGGTAAGGGTGTGGATGCTGCCTTTTCCTCTGAGGATATCTGGTCACAGTTCCGTCTGGGAGGCATTATCGCACACCCGTTCATCTACGGCATGGTTGGCAGAGACCGGAGAATCAGGTTCATTAAATTTTGGTACTGAGAGCTCAGGTTCATTAAGTTTTGGTGCAGAGAGTTGGAATTTTCATTAATTGCCGATAATAGATCCTTCTGAGGACACAGTTGAGAAGTTGTAGAGGCGCTTTTTTAGTATTGAATATTTCAGAATTTCCGTATTTGGTTTTCTGCACTCGAGTGGCGTCGGCTGAGGTTTGACAGTGAGCCTCGTATGGATTAGCTACATCAATGAGGTATGCGTGACTAGCCTTCCTGTCTATAGCGATGAAGTCTGGACGGTAGTTTCCGGCAGGTGTATAGATTAAAGACTCGGCGATAACCTTAAACAATTAATGCCAAATTGTACCGTATATTATCTTTCCATGGTATTATACCTCCATGCACCAACACAGGAAATAAACTCACCAGTGTATTCAAGTAGTATGGAACACCGGAATAAATATTGTACAGTATGTAGGCCTACTATCAGTAGGCTCCTGTATGTAAATTACAAGACATGATATTAATTTTAAAGTACATCAAAACGCTACAATTCAAGTTCGGTATATCTCGTAGGCGGTATTCAAGTTGTTATTATTTAAAGCAGGGGTTCTCAACTATATCGCAACAGGGGCAAAATTGTTGATTGAATAAATTTTAAGGGCCAGGGCAAGGTGTACTATTGTAACCGTGGGGTTTTAGATGCCTTTCCCCTTGCCGGTTACTTGTTCCCAATAGTCTATGTGGCAGGGTGTCTCACACAGTAAAGCACAGAAACGAAGGTCCAATCAAAGTATAGTTTAGTTTGTGTATTTAATCAAGGAGTGTTCTATATCTACTCCACAACAATTCTCCAATAATTCTAATAATGTTCTCCCTTCTCTCTCATTGCTCTCTATTTTTAAGGGAAGCTAGTCACCATGGTAACCACCAAGGTGGGGTGATCATACTTGCACTAGATTAATGGGTGTTCTGACCCTCCTTGCTCTAGATTGGAATGTTAGTGGTTGGCCATGATGCCGTCACTTATCATATTAGTTTTGTGACTTGACATTGCTTTACGTAAGTGCAAGAGTGTATATTTTATAGATATTTAAATTTAAAGTACAATTCCTTAGCAAGGTTACACATGGTGCGTGGGGTTTGAGAGGGGGTGTTCCCCTTCCAGAATTGGATTTTGTTCATAATGTATTAAAAGTACTTACCTTCTCCTTGGTCCAGAGACACTGCTTTGGGTTTCCAAAGCAAACATCAGCGGGCCACTGTTCTTGTTTATTTTCAGGATCAGACCACTTAATATAGCCGCCACTGTTTAAACCTTTCATAACACTGGGGATTATTCTCCGCAGTGTCTTCACATTCAAAGTGGATACCGGTGCCGGCAAAACTGGGAGAATTATTGGTGCTTTAAGTTTCACAAGCACAGCACAGATCTGTCCACGTTTCTGAGATTCTTAGCTTTCTGAAATGTCTTTGGACAGCATATTCTGGAGCATGGCCAAGCCTTTGAAACCGAGAAACCCGGTGTCTGTTGTGTATACCACCATTATCTGTATAGCCTTTCCTTTCGATCTACCTACAGTATAGTAAAAACAAGAATGCATAACATAATAGTTGTCGTAATACATAAAACGAAGTAATGCAGTAATAAAACAACTACACATCACCTCAATAAAGGTAGATTTAGACAATTTAAGAATAAATAATAAAGCTTTGAGTGTGCACCTAAAATGAGTGGGCCAAAGGTCAAACAACCCCTATTAAAGGAAGACTTATTTTTTTCTTTCATTGCATCACAACAACTGCAGCAGTCTCGACATGAGAACAAAATAATTCGACCTAATATTTTGACACCTTTTGAGCAGTAAACCAGAATAGCACTGTTGTAGTTGTCGTTTAACTTATTCAAAACTGGGGAGCATTTACAGGTATTCATAGTTCAATCGATTTATAATAAAATATATTTCAATTACACTACTTGGATATCAAAAGCTCAACTTTTTGACGGGTTAGCCAATTTTATAATAAGGGTAATACAGAAACATACCCAGTTGATCATAATATTATGGTTATTAAATTCTATAGTTTAAATTATTGAGATTCCAGTGTAATTATAAATTGTAAGTTAAAATACATATCTTAAAAAATATTATTATTATTACTGTTATTATTATTATTATTGTTATTATTATTATATTAGTATCAAAACAGTTATTTTGTATTTCTCTCTATATAGTGAGAGCTCATCTTATTAACTACAATTTTCTACCAATAGCATATATACTGTAGTACGCAGAAACTCCAAAATCCGAGATTTGAATAAAAATTTGAAAACTCCGATTTCGGAGGTTTGAATAAAAGTTTGAAAGCACTGATTTCGTTAGTACGCAGAACCTCCGAAATTCAAGGTTTGAATAAAAGTTTGAAAAATCGGATTTTGGAGTTTTCGCGTATAGTACACAGAAACTCCAGTTGGAGGTTTGAATAAAAGTTTAAAAACTCTGATTTTCGAGGTTGCGCGTATAGTACGCAGAAACTGCAAAATCGGAGGTTTCAATAAAAGTTTTAAAACTCCGATTTTGGAGGTTTGGCTTATAGAACTCAGAACCTCTGAAATCGGAGATTTGTTTAAAAGTTTGAAAACTCTGATTTTGGAGGTTTCGCATACCTATAGTAGGCTTACGCAAAACCTCCAAAATCGGAGGTTTGAATTAAAGTAAAACTGGAGTAAAACTCCAGTTGGAGTTTTGAATAAAAGTTTGAATCCGAGGTTTGAATAAAAGTTTGAAAACTCCAATTTCGGAGGCTTTGCGTATAGTACGCAAAACCTCCGAAATCGGAGGGTTGGATAAAACTTTTGCTCTCTCTATATAGAGAGCTTGTTTAATTAATAGTACAAACTCTGAAATTGGAGGTAGATTTCAGTATTAATATCAGCATTTAGGCATGCTGATTTTACATCCATTTGGTGTACAGTGAGGTTTGCTGTGCAGCAACTTGCATCTAATTGAGGACATGTTGGCTGTAAGTGAGAATGTGTCATGGTAATCAATACCTTCTACTTGACTAAATCGCTTAGTGATATATCTTGCTTTGTATGTCTGGGTACCTTCAGCAGGGGCGTAGGCTGGGGGGAGGGGTGCACTGTACTGCAACAAAAAATTTGCAGGGCAGCAAGTAGAACTTTATTAGGCCAACAAAAATACACATATAAGCCTATGATTTGCCTAGTCGTAAAACAAAATAGAAACTCATTTTTTATCCCAAATGTGAATAAACACTACAATAATACGAAAAATATTCAGTGTATTGTTTTTCTTCCTTATTGTTTACATGATACCGTCATTTCTTTTCACTAGGCGAATTCGCCCAAAATGCGATTTTGAAGTTCTTTACTGCGCATGCTTATAACTGAGCAAAAATTCATGATTTGCACTATTAGCCAGTGGATTGCGACATTAAAACTGACTCTGGTATCTACACAGGAGAAAAATGTCCAATAAACGCTAAAAATGTTATCACAATCTTGTTTGTCCTCCTCACCCGCCCCTAACAAAAAAGCTAAAAAAAAGTTTAAAAATTTGAGTGAGTGAATTGATCTTTATTTAAAGTTGTCTAAAGTTGTTGTCTGATGTAAGATATTGCCATTCTAGGCCTACATTCATTGCAAAATGTCAACTGTGGGTTATTTTTATTCCATCTAATGAAAATACTGAAAAAAAAAAACTTTTTCCACATGCCCCTTTTTACCATTTAAAAAATTATTTTTTTAAGCCTTATTCTTAAGCTTTGATGAAAAACTTGGTTAATGAGATAAAAAGATAGCGATTTTTGGATATGTCTGCCATACTTGAAGATTCGATACATGAAGCTGAAAGTCTACTGCACAAAATCGAACAAGCTGAAACAACCGAATAAAATAAATGAAATACGATGACTATTTACCACAAATGAACAAATTCCATTTTATTTCATGTCATCTCCCTCACGACCTTCTTGCCATACCTCATGACTTCTTAACTGTACCTCATGTACATATCTCATATAATTAACAAACTCAAATTTTTTCTCCCTTTTTTTTTAGTGTGGTTTTAAAACTTTTTGAAGAGGCCCCCTTTTTTGTTAGACCATTATCTATGAGTTCTTTTATCCCACTCAATTCTAATCTGAGTCTTTTTTCTGAAACATGTTTTCGGGATTTCAAGGCATCAAATAAATATTTACAACCAGTGAAGCAGACAATTGGTTAGAGATCAGGGTCAGGTTTTCCACTCAATAATTCTCCGAGAAAGGTACATACAAAAATACTTGAGTCAATACCCTCAGCCATAGCTAGTTTCTCAGCAGCCAACATGCTGCGCGAACCACCTTACAATTTTTTTTAAAGAATTCCACCAAATTGGCGAGAACTTCCCGGACGGACTGGCAAGCAGAACAAGATACCCACCTTGACTTCCACCATCTGGCATATTGCCTAGCGAGGCATCACAGTACATAGCAATGAATAAACCATTCACAGAATAATTTAGTATCTGAAATTTTAAACTGCATTTAACAATAATTTTGTCTATTTCTAGCATATCTTCAATTGTCCCCTTAATATCAAACAAAATGTCACTTTGGTGCGCAAGCCAAAGTAATTGCCCAATTTTTCGCCTTGCATTGTTTTCTATAAACAATATCATTATGTCATTATAACTACTTCCAAAACTGAGGGCGCACTAGCCTAAAACGTTAATGCTTATGCCGCTACATTACCGGCCCCAATGAACATACTACAGGGTGGTCATTCTACAAATAACTTAGGGGCATAACAGAATCCAGTGCATATCATAGGTGATGGAACACAATACAATGAACTTCTATTTTATTGTTCTAACCTACAAACTTAAACATAAAGTTAAAATTAACATAAAACGAATGGTGTAACTTTAAATGAATACGGTTCCAATCAATAAAACATCTAATCATCAATTAATTCTGCTTCATACAAGCACTACATGTCTAAATGATGTTTCTACTTAGTCAACCTGTGTCGAAGCTTTAACTAAACACAGTTTCACAATTGGTCTCATTAACACTTTCCAGCCAATCTTAACAGCTGCTTGTCTCATACCTGGCGGGAAGTTAAGAGCGCTTCTTCCTCAGCAGAAGATGATTTGGGGTAAACGGTTCATCGTCATCATTCGGACTAAGACTAATTCGAGTCAACGGTCTTGAATTTAAAATTGCTTCCACTTCAGTCAACATTGTTATCAATACTTCCTCACATACCACTTGTCCTCCAATTATGGTTTTGAGGATTCTTTGTACAGATCGTAGGATCATCTAAAAACTTAATCATAAAGTTATAACTAACATAAAACAAATGGTGTAACTTTAAATGATTACGGTTTCAATCAATAAAACATCTAATCATCGATTAATTCTGCTTCATACAAGCATTACATGTCTAAATTATGTTTCTACTTAGTGTGGCTGGCTGCAGAGGGATTAAATGACCATTCTGTTCCATTTCCATGAAGAAAATCTCAAACCTTCCAATGATCTGGAGCTCTCAAGTTTACCTTTAACACTCGATCTGCTCGAAAATTTGTACCATTATTGCTTAATATCTTAGCTGGTTTCCCACGTCTGCTTACAAATCGCCGCAACGCGTTTATAAAAGAATCCGTGTCTAAAGTATTAGATAGTTCAATGTGGACCGCTTATGCTTGTTTAATAATTAGCGGACCAAAATAATCAACATCAACATTTGTAAACGCAGGACAATCCAGAGTCATTCTCACTGCTGGTAATTCAGCCATTAGGCCTATTTGACGTCCGGATTGAGCGTTTCTTCTCTTGCAAGCAAAACACTTTCCAATTTTCTTGCGAACTGCTGCACCACCTTTCAAGATCCAATATATCTCTTGGAGTGTCCAAGTTACACCTGAACCGAAGTGGTCAACAACCTTATGATGATACTCTATAAGGAGTCAAGTGATGTGATGGTTTCTTGGCAATATAACAGGATGTTTAGTATCATCATCTATTGGCGCATTGGACAGGCGCCCTCCAACTCTCATAACACCGTCCACAATTATTGGGTTCAAATTCACAATGCCCTTGTCCTTGCCATTTCCCATCACACATTCTGGAAACTCCTGTCACTGTACAAACTTTACAATCTCATCTCATCAATAGATTTTTGATCAGCAGTTAACCAATATTTTGGAATTGCATTTATCAACTTATAATACTGCATCATTGCTATTTCTTTCCTATGACTCACTTGTACATTCTTCACTTCAACCTATTTCTGAAAGACCTAAAGGTTCGACTACTCCTTGCCATCGACCGAGGTGTAAGACATGTAAACACGTTGTATCACTTGATCTACTCAAGGGACCTTCGGGATACCATGTTATTACGGACTCTTTTAGTTGTATTTCTACAAATGTTATTTACGGCATAATTTGTAATAAATGTAACTTGATATACATAGGAGAGACCAAACGTCGCATTGCTGATCGTTTTACGGAGCACCTTAGATCTATACGCTTACGTATGCCTGGTTTACCAGTAGCTTCTCATTTTTCTCATAATCATAATATTGACGATATACAAATTACTGGTGTTAGTTTATGTAAAGGATCTGGCTTCTCTAGGAAAGAATTAGAACAGAAAATCATCTATAAATTAGGTACGTTACATCCTGCTGGCATTAATGTTAGCTTAACTGCTTTTAGATTATGATATGTTATTTACAGCAGATTTTTTATTATAGGCCTATATTATATATTTTATTTCATGTATTTTGCTATATTCCATCCGTATACAGAATAGGCTTTCTGTCTGTATGACTCATTCTGATGGCTTTTGTTTTAGATTTGATTCAGTTCACGCCCTTTATTGTTCCTTATAGCTCCCTAGCTACTCGTTGCTTTATCATACTACGTCCGCATTGAGTGTATTTTTACTCGCTATATTTTTTATCTGTACCACCTGATGAAGGGCGATGCCCGAAAACGTTTGTGAAAAAGTTTGAAAGGCAAATGGGAAAACCCCATAAAACAGCAAACGGCCATATTATGCAAAACAATTTAAAATTAAAAACGGAACAGTAGAGAAAATCCGATCAGAATGACAAAATAAACTGGAAGGAATACAAAATTAACCCAATTTTTATAATACAGAGCATTTTCTTTATTTATATCGAATGTTGTTATTCCACCAAAAAAATTGTGTAGGCCTACACCTAATCGGTTAATAGGCTTTCTAATTAAGACTGCATCAATAGGGCCATTTTTTTTAAAGGTTAAAAACGGTACGTTTTTCCAAGCTGCAACCTCATTATTGTTGATCCTTTTCAATTAATTTACTTTAATGGCAGCAATACTGCTTGAGAAATGTACCATACCGAGCCCTCTTTTTGATATATCACCGATAAAGATAAAGTAATGGAAATAGGGTTTGTGGAATTAATAATGATTTTATCACCAAAGTTTTTCCAACCAGGGTTAAATTTCTTCATTTCCAACTTTTTGGAATTTGATTAAGTTTATCCAATCATGGATAGGCCTACCAATTTTCTTTATTTTTATTAGCTAGAAAAGTAAATACCAAGCCCTTAACATTAGCAAGTACATTTTAAATATTTTTCCATTGAAACAGATTCCTTTAGTTTCAACGACAAACCAGAAAACGTAGTGAAAAGATTGATAATCTTGAAGGCTTGTTTGATAGAATCTCGAAGGCTTGTTTGATACAATTTCTATCGGGCTTAACTTCAATACTCTTTGCGGTAAAAAATTGTCAAAATCTACCCTTGGAGGCATTATTCAAGATCTTTGTAAGACATCCTATGCTTAAAGTCCAGTGCAGAAAGTTTGAAACATGGTCTTCGCCACCACTTTCTTATTACTTTCACGGCAGCTTGTGCACTTATGATCAATGCCCTGAAAGTCTGCACAATGCCTCAAGGAGTACTGTACTGCAATCTGAGGGTAAATTCAATTAAACATGTCTTTTTTTTATTAATTTATTTTTGAACTTTTTTCTGTGCCTTGCCATGCCCCTAAGCTTGATTTAATTCTCGTCTAAGGTAAGCATGAGCCTGAAGAATTGTTTTATTTATTTATTTTTATATTTTACTGAAAAGTGTGTTTTTCTACAGCTTGCTTTTAATCTTGTTTTTATTGAATAAAAGTGGTTAAAATAAATTATCAAGAGATACTTAAGGGTTTTGTTTTATAGATACCCTATATGGGTGTCTACAAAACGAAGACTGAAGGCCCGAAAAAAGAAAATCCACATTTTTTAATGATACTACACCTGTCTGTCACTAATTCCTAATTACGAGATTATTTGAACTTTTGTTTGTGAAATTATCAAGGGTCTTCGTTTACGCACACACACTCCAGTTCAATCACATTTACACTGGGGATTCTACAATTTACTTTTGGTAAAAACATTGCTGTGGTTTTTGATGATCACTTTGAGTTTACTCGTCATCCTGTCTCTCAATTCATTTCCAGTTAACAAGATCCGGCATATCAAAAGGCTTGTTCACGTCTTGCCTACTGTAATGCACTTCTCTGTGCATAATGTTTGTGCACTGGTAGAAATGTTGATGGTTGTGGGCGACGACTTACATGCAATACTGTTTATAGTATATTGGTATGTTTGTAGGTAACTTTCAATGGTATTTTTAAGCGATATTTTGTCTATACTTGGTTTGATATGTGCTTTTTTTGTTAATTCGTTTTTGTTTTTACTTCATCTGTAACTTGAACTGTTTGTAGATATTTTGTTATTAAGTTGAATGCACCACTCCTGTGTGTGCTGCCGTTCTAAAAACGTGTTCCCAAAGTAAATAAATATTGCTTAGCACAGAAACACCTTCATCACATTCAGCTTGTTCAGAACACGGCTGCAAAAATAGTAACATTCACCATGAAGCAGAAATATTCCACTTCTATTCTCAGATAACTGCACTGGCTTAAAATCAATGAACACATATCTTTGAAGACACTATTCGTGACTATTAAGTAGCTACTCCAGTGAGTCTTGCCCTAAAATACATTTCAAATTTCATTCAACCTAAATCTACTACTTGCATTTTCAGATCTTCAAACACCCTTTCAGCGAAGCATGTGGAGAAATAAGGACATTGGAAAACAAACATTCACTGTGTTGCCCCAATATTATAGAATGTCCTACAACATCTCGACACCAAAACATCATTTTCTGTTGATATCTTTAAGCAAGGTCAAAATATCACTTTTCCATTTTTTTTTTTAATTTTTAAATTGAATTTTGCTTTCTATAAACATTTATATTTTTGTAAACATGTACATAAAATGATATAAACTTTTAATTAACCTTGAATGTGATCTCATTATGTGCATATTGAGTAATGTTTACCCCTTAGGTACACCATGGGTACACTGAACATTGTCTGCTGTGGATATTGGTGCTTTGCAAATAGCTGTTGATTGGATAGATTGTTAATGCAAATATTCTAACAATCCCGTTTTGTGCAGGACATTTAGAATCAATCCCTGTCCTAAATTGTCCTTTTTGATAAATATTTGAAATTTAAAATTACAAAGTTCAAATATGATAAAATTCACCTCACACACCAATAATCACATAAAGTTGTTTTTAGGAATGTTCTTCTTTGGTGTGTGAGGAAGTATACAATTTGTTTCATTAATATTAATCCAGCTGTTTATTTTGTTCAGCTATACAATAAGAGAACCCAGAGGGACAGCAGAAGTAAGATAATAATCAATAAGGTACAAAAAGAAACATTTTAAAATACATCCGTTATAAAATATTGTTAAGACTACGATGTTATCGATCTGGTTACACCAAAAAAGTTACACATTTGCATATCTTCCATTTCTGGTAAGCAAACAAACGAAATAAAACACATATAAATCATCTTTCATTTTCAGATTAAAACGTTTTATTCACCTACTGCAGAGGGTGGCCCACAATAGAGAAGTGTAATTTTCAATATGTGAACGATTCTGGTGGAATTGAACCTTGAACTAAGAAAATGTAGTTGATATCAACATCGGCTGGTGTCAAATTGTAATGCTGGAGATAAAATCGCTTATATAATATACAATTATATACTTAAAATTAATTGTATAATATATATATATATATATATATATAGAGTACAATATTATTATACTGACAAACTATAACTATATGAATCTACCATTAAGAAAACCTTTCAAACATTGTCAATATGACATGTCCTTCAAATGACTTTTCATCAATTTTTAACCATGTCCTTTGAATTCTGTGTAATGATAGACTCAATTGCCATCTTAGCTCAAGCATCACAATTCCGATCATAAAGGTAAACGCAAGACCATTGACCGTCTTTCAGGTTTTATGCGAATCATTAGCAGACAACGAAACAGCAATATCTCAGATTCTATGCAAGATATTAGCGATTTGTACCTAGTTAAAAAGCCAAGTCAAGAAGTCGAAGGCAAGTTTTAAAACCAAATCAACTATTTGACACTAACGTCTAGAGGTATAATCTAATTATTTCACTGAAACCGAGTTGCAAAATAAATATGTTTACACTCAGTTTACTTAAAAGCAGTACCAACCAAATGGTAACAAGCATTTGACTAAGGGTTTCACCCCATGTAATTATGCAAGAAAACAAAAAAAAATCAATTGAAGTTGAAAAGCATAAACTGGAAACCAATTGAAACTCCTTATGTAACTATACATTTGACTGACAAACTTAAAGATCTCAAGTCCACACGAAAGGACAGTGAGAAACATAAGCTGGCAACATACAGATTCCATAACATTGTTAAACGTGACAAATTTAAACGGTATATTCTCACTAAGAGAATAAACTGTCTACATCAAAAGTTAAAAGTGCAACACCCATAGTGGTCAATGTTGCATAGCAACTGACTATTCATTATGGGTACTGCAACATTGCCATTTTCTATTAAGTATATGTTCATTTGTTACCGCTTGAACATTCCATAAATATTTGGCAATCTGACGCATCAGGTAAATAGTAAAGTCTGGATGTCTCAAGCATATGTTGACAGAAACGTTAAACAACTTTCAATATCCTTAAAATTAGAAATACAGTATAAGCTGGTTGGAATTTCTGTTAAGTGTCCCAGATTGTTTAATGACAAGACAGAATAGCTCATTAGTCTGTTTCCATTTACACATAGTATCCTCGTTTGAATCACAAAGTTCTGCAAACATATGCGAGTTCTCCAGATATTCACAAAGTCATAATCAGGTATATGGTCACAATAAATTCTATACAGGTGTGTTCTCAAAACACACCTGTGCATGTGGTCATAATCATTATAATAATATTTTCTTTTACACAAACATGTACACAAATGTCTAAGGTAAATAACCTACTGAAGAAATAGGTTTTATAGAGAAGGCAAGATTGATCATTAAATATACATGAACAAAGCTATTTGAGGGAAAACTATATAAAACTCTATATTGAAAAAAAGTTATAGAGTTTGATACAAATTCTTATATCTTAACTGGAGAAATTTAACCCAGTATTAGATTAATTTATCAATCATAATAATTTAACAAGGATCAAATTAATTCTATCATTGATACAGTTACCAATAAGATACATCCAATGATGTATATTATGATAATGATATCAATTTTAGAAAGGAAACTCAAGAACTAATTACCAAAACTGTACAATATAAAAATTAGAATTTTTGCTATAAAAATACATAGTCACACACCTATTATACATCGAGTAATAAATAATTTGCAATAACATGTCAATTACTTGTTAAACATATTCATTTTATATGGAAAAATTGATGGTAATGATATTGATAAAGATGGTGATGTTTATGAAGATAATAGTGTTTATGATGATGATGGTACCAATACAGATAATGATAATAATCTTTACAAAGATTGATAATGATAAAGTCAACCAATGATCATATTGATGATAATATTAATAATAATAATAATAATAATAATAATAATAATAATAATAATAAATACTACTAATAATTATGCTGACAACAATGAGGTTGATTGTATTGTAATTTGTATTGATTATAAATAATGTATTGTATTGATATATTACTTTAATGATCTTAAATACTATGTTATATAATGAGGGATATATAGCTATTAGTCATTTAATCATTAACAAGTGAAAGAAAAAGCTAATTTTTTTCTGATAAATAATACTGTTAATCTTAAATATTCAACGCCTAAATGGATAAATTTAGTAAGGAAATCTATCAGCCTTATCACTTGCAGAATAAATATAGAAACACACAACACACTAATCACGCAATGTGCCACAATAAAACATGCCTTTCTAAATTATAAAAATAGAATAAATACTAGAATTTCTTATTTGATTTGGATAAATAATAGACATACACTACAAAACATTTTTTAATCTTGCCTTCTATATAAAACCTCATAGGAATTTGACAGATATGGGCAAGTAGTGTTAAGCATACAGAACGGAAAAGTCAGTTCCATTAACATAAGGGGGGTAAAATATTTGATTATTCCAATTTGATATCAAATTAATATCAGAGAAACAATCTTTATGAGTTCATATGAATATGATTTTTGGATTTTCTTATTTTTCAAATGTTTTCTTACAAAAAATAATATTCACAAGCCATTTTTCACCACCCTTAATTTATTATTTTTATTCATTTTTAAAGTTTGATAAATGGAGTATTATACTTGCCCAAACCTGCAAAAACATTGACTTTTATCAACAAACTATTCTTGTTCTAAAAAAATAAAAAATAAACAACCAAGGAAACTAAACTATTCATTAAATAGGAGGAAGTTCGATGAAGAGGCAAAGATGTTCAGAAATTATAAAAAAACAAGAATAGGTTGTGAACAAGATAAAGGATATTAATAATACAAAAGTAACGATCAAGTAATAGTGACAAATAAAAAGATAGATACAGAAGTTTGTGAAAAAACCACATATGAATACGCTGGATGAAGAAAGTGCAAAGCAGTCGAAAAACATCACATGTCAAGAGGACGACATTACTTTTCCAGCTGACACTACTAGGGCTTTTTGTGAACTTACAAAGTGTGAAATAAAATAATATGTAATAATAATAATAATAATAATGATAATAATAACTATTTGCTGAAAGTTCTTCAATTGATTATTCATATCATGTTTGTGTCAGTTTGTGTGTTGATAATTATTTCTCTTCCTTCTTGTTACTTGATGACCAAGTAGATCCAGTACGCGGATACGACCACAGGTTGCTCAACAAAGATGAGTTGAATGGATTGTATGAAGCAGGCTATATAAAGTGAAACAAAAAAAATTAAATAAGAATAAGAATATAGCATGGAATGAAACTTTCATAGTTGTTGAAATCATTTGACAAGTTCTAATTATGATAATGGGTCATCATTTCTGATGAAAGTTCTATTCTCACATGAATGGGTTGCGCATAATTATCAACAATGTCATCGAATCCTCACATGAATTTTTACTATTTCTAAATTATTTTTCTTTTTTGATCCTTTATTTTACTTGTGGGGGTTTTTAAATTCCTGTCTTGTTTCCCTTAAAATTGAAATTTAAAATTATTTACGTCTGATATATTTTTCTGAATTGTGTATTTTACCTATTTGTTTAATCCATTATCCAAATTACCTAAGTTCAACTTAAATTTGATTCATTTCTGTATTAGATGAAAACTGCAATAAGTATTTTGTATTATGTAATGGGTTCCCATTACATTACTAATTTCAAATGTTTAAGTACATTCAATGTTTCCTCTGAAAGTGCGAGTGGAGTGGCTCGAATACAGTTGGTAGAACAAAGTCTTCTTTGATAAGGACTTGCGAAAGGAGAGGTCCAGTATATATATCTGGCTTGAGTGCACTTTAAAGAACCCATTGCATTTTTTGGAAGAGTAAGGAGTTACCCAATGCTAACTAAGCAATGTGAACCAGGGGCGTACGTGAAAAATCTAAGGGGGGGGGGGGGGCCGAAACGAAAGCGCAGGGGGAAAGCTGAACTCGGAGCAATTTAGCGAAGCTTTCAGAATTCGCGGGGTGCGTTATTTGTGAGTGAAGCGAGCATATTTAAAGGGCACTTTCTTTAAAAAGGGGGGGGTCGACCGCACCCATCGACCCCCCATGGTACGCCCCTGTGAACTAAGCGCCTCCATACGGCTGCTACAGCAGTTACGGACCATGCCCTTATGCAATTCAGCACAATGACACTGCGGTTATTCACCTACCCTTACCTTTTCCTGGCATACTTCATATGTATTCAACAACAATAAACTTAATTAACTAGAAATTGCAAATTGCAAGTGAAGTACAACTGCATATAAATGTTCTTCGAACAAAATTATTTATGCGAGTCAAGTGAAAATAATGAATAATAAAAATATAACAAATAATATGAGACATGACCCATTGTCTATATTAGAACACAAAGGTAACAAAGTCGTAATTTTTCATATTTGTCAAAAAGTGTCTATAGTGGTGAATTATGGTTTAAGTTTTTTTTAATAAAGTTTCAAAAATGTCTATGTATGTGGAAAATGTAGTTGATTACCAAAGGTTACAATTTTTATTTTGAAGACTGCATGGTCTAGGAAGTGTACATTTTTTTATGGGGCAAGTTTCCAAGGGCGGGTTTTCTAGGGGCGAGTTGACTGCCAAAGAGTGTTGCCAAAGTGCGAGCCAGCGCAAGTGTGAGCCAGCAAGCCATGACGTCACGACAATAGATACGAGACGTTACTCGAGTTGTGCGAGGTATCGGCTGAGATTTGTGGAGTACAATTCAAAAAACAACTATAGGTCTAATAATGAATTATTGTGATGTTAAATAGACAATGTTAGCTATCAAGGAGCGACGTTTTTCATTGGGACCTTCGTCCCTTCAAGGCTAGGCCTATACCATCCTAGCTAGTCTAGGCCTAGAGTAGGATAAGGCTAGCGCGACATGCGGACGATGGTACAAGGTTAGTCTACAAACGTCGCCAAAATAATTTATTTTACCCGGCAGAACAAAAGAAGGAAACTCTGCTTTTCAGTCGTCTTAGGCCCTTGTTTTTTGACAAACAATGACCTTTCAGAGGTCAAATTGCTGTCAAGAATATGAATTGGCTGCTTCGCAGCAATTACTAGTGCTAGTTTAAAGGAAAATCCTAATATATTTAATAATTGTAAAAGTGATCATGAGATTGAAAGGTGGGCAATCCATAAAGCCGCCTCAGACAGCGTTGTATGATGCAGTCTGACACAATTTTTGGGGGCAGTCTTCAGGTCACTGTGAGAATGTTAAACATGTTTAATATTTTACGACGCTACTGTTTCCGACGCTGACCTATTGCGTCTGTGTTCAACTCACACAGACCTGATGCAACTACAAATCACCACCAATTATTATAATTATTTTTAGTATCCCTCTTATTTGCCTACTTGGCATTCAAGCCTCACCTGCTGTGGTTCCGGCATATCAGGCTGTTCAATTCCAAGAACACCACGGTCCAACAAGGGGCTGTCATTGGCAGTACTAGACCAAATGGATGATGGGAAAAGGAGGGGGTTGCCTGTTTGCCAGCGGCTATCCATGTTGCGGCTTGGAGTCGGGTTATTCCATGGGCTGTTAGTGTTAGATTGGCTGAACAAGCTCTGAGGATAGACATAAAATGTGTTAAAATCTGCATAAACAGGAACAAAAATGAGATAAAAAAATAACCTGCATATTCTGTGATTAGCCTGTCTTGCAGCTGGTAATTTTTGTTCAGTGAATTTTAGGCACTATATAAATATTCTTGATCGATCGATTGCATGATTGAAGTGAATTGCGTTTCTCATTTCAGGGTTCATTCCTAAACATAGTTTCATTCTCTAAGCATGTAGGATGTTCTAAAGATCCAAAATGTGTTCTTAACTTCATTTTTAATTCATGATTTAACTGACAGACTACTAACTTTGATACAAGATTCAATAAACTTTTTCAGAGTGCTATTATTTAATATAATTTTCTCTCGAGTTTAAAAATGTATTCTCTAAATATGTAGGGAGTTTTTCAAAGACAGTAATAATTATTGTTAAACTTATATAAAATATTTTGTTTATATTTATAACCGAAAGTACCCCCAATAATTTTAATAAATTATATCTATTTCTGTTGTTTTTTGTATATTATCTTAAGTTTATATCCTATTTTTTCTACATTAGTGTTGTATTGAAAAGGTAAAGTACTTATTTTGAAACATTTTCTTAGTCATTGTTGGTATTTATATTTTGTATAAAAATTTCAAACAACATTTTAACACCATCAATAAGCACTAACTGTGTTAAATGAACATTTAGAATAGTCAAACAATAATTGGCAGTTACAATGTGAATACCATATCATAATCACACATAATGCAAAAACTTTTCTGCTCTCTATTCAGCAAACATCACTACATTCAAGAAAAAAATGATCAAATTAAATGCACAGGTATATTTATACAGGTCATAGGAAATGTACTTTAATACACTTAAAGACACTTACATTACTCGATGGGCTAGTATTAGGCGAGTGGGCTCCAGTGGACCAGGTTGTGGTGTTTTGTGAGTTTGAATAACTATTGGGCTCCCACAGGCCACTAGATGTTGGGCTAGTATTCGTACCAAATCCTGGCCAGTTGTCCAAAGATCCTTCTCTTTTCTTTCTTGGTTTAGGGACTCCAGGTGCCTTGAGGCTAGCATCCCAATGTGGTCCAAAATTAGAAGAGTCTGTAAAATAGTTAAGCATATCATGTGAATGTAATTATTTGTACATTTATGGCAAAGACAAGCCAAACCATTCACTTGTCGCAAAAATTGATTTTGAGGTATTAATACAGGGTAAAGCGTAAAATCAGAGGTATAAAATGGTAAAAAAATAATTCAAATTCGACAATTCATTATGAAGTTATAAGCGTTTTAAACATACAGCCGTTTAAAGACCGATATATGAGATATCAGCCTTCGAAGGTTATGATTTCAGGCACATCTCATGCAGAAACTATCATCAAATAATTAAAAAATGTTGTTTTAACATCGAAAATGGGGGAAATAAGAGCATAGCATGATGTATACATATATATAAAGGTTAGTTTAGTGCAATGAAAAAGATGTTTAAAAATTTGACATTCCAGCATGTTTTGGCCATTTTCTCTGAAACATGATCTGCGACGTGTGACTGGTTTGGCTTGTCTTTGCCACATTTAATCTTTTACTTTATTATAAAATTCTTATGCTACTGTTTTGTTTATAATTTATAATAAGTGAGAAGTACAATAGTACAATAAATAAGTAATATTGAATGTATAAACAATCTTAATAGCATAGCTCAGCTGGCTAAATATGTTTATGTTTGTTTAGCTTAGCTATAAGATGCTTACAACTACTGTACATTGGGAAATGGCATCTTGGCCTGTCAGTGGTGATAGCTCCAAGCTGTAGTCTGTGGGTCAATGCATATACAAAACAATCTAGCCTAAAACAAAATGTAAAAATTCCCAAACATGTGCATGTTAAAGAACACTATATATGGAAAGAAGAATATGGAATTGTCTCCTGGTATAACACACTATCACTAGCAAAGAATAGGATATTGTTATGGTGTACTGAACAAACCCACCACTGATACAAATCCCCCACAGTAGTCCACTGCCAGAGCACATCCAAAATCAACACTTCTTTCAGATAACTTCTTTATCATGTACAGAAGTAATTACATAATTAACATAAAAAAAAAAAACCATACCTTCTCCAAACGGAAATGCAGCTGGTCCAAATGTCGCTGGTGGTGGTGACTTGGTTAGAGGTGTAATCGGTGAACCAGATGGCAAACTGAACATGCTCGGGCTACTTGGACTATCACTTCCCGATGATTGGTTGTCCATGGCCCAGTGGCCGATCTTGTAGCCAATTCTAGCAGGCAGAGTCTTTGATCCGATGGCACCTGCAAACAGAACCAGCATGATATGTTATTCTCTCTTTTAACGTTAAGTGTTGCAAACAAGAATAACTGTGGGAATGAAAGCTAGAAAAAATACATTTACAGTTAGTCTTAAAGTGCTGAGTTCTGTTTCTATCCGTACCATAAGAATAACTGAGAATAAGAAAAATGAATACCCTCCATATAGATGTGCTGTTTATCAAGTTACTATAACTTTATATAAAACTTCAAAAATAACTTTGTATATACAGCCGCTCATAAAAATCAACTTAATTGCAGGTTTAAATGAATCAATTTTCTTAGTAACTTTCATAAAGACAAACAAAAAGAAAAATTTGCATAAATAATGATATACAGACGTTTTTGGTAAAAAAAATCGTAATATTTAAGGGTATAATGCAAAGGCTATTAGAAATTTTATAATTGGGAAGGAAATTATTTTCTTGTACTAACATATATTAAGCAACTAATCTTTTCCAGTTTTTATTAGATTTTTAGATTTGATTTCATTTTTTAGTTACCTGGGTGATTTCCTTTTTCACCAACTGGAGTGAATGCTGAGAGTGACTTATCTGGTGCTGAATGTGACTTGCCCAACTTCTGCTTGCTCTTCCTGTTGCCAGATGAAGGAGTAATGTTGTTACTGCTGCTGTCGGAGCTTCCGCTGCTCACCACACTACTGTAGCTGTTGCTTCGACTGGTACTTGGGTTTGGAGATGCTTTTTGGTGAGAGTTAATGCATGCCCTGGCTGGGGCTAATAACAGATCAGCTTCCATGGTCTGAACTGCAAGTTGCATGAGGCTGGAGTCTATGAAATAAATTTCATAAAATGTAGATTGATATGCTCTATTAAAGTCTAAACTCATCTAAAGCCCTGTGTGTAAAATGCCTAATATGGTCATGACATTACCATATATAGGCATATCATGACTATATTTGGGCATACAACAGTTTTTCTGTCAAAGAAAGTTGGATAACTTGAACAGAGCTTTAGATTCATCAACAAATATTCAGAATAATGGGATCTGAAGCCATTACCTCACACACTCACATTCCAAATCCATACCTTTATCTTCAGCATTTGTGGCAAAGACAAGCCAAACCAGTCACTCGTCGCAAATCGTGTTTCAGAGAAAATGGCCAAAACATGTTGGAATGTCAAATTTAAAAAAATCTATTTTATTGCACTAAACTACCCTTTATATATCTACACATCATTCTATGCTGTTATTTTCCCCATTTTCAATGTGAAAACAATACTTTTTAAGGATTTAAAGATAATTTCTGCATGAGAAATGCCTGAAATCATAAACTTTGACGGTGAATTTCTCATATAGTGTTCTTTAAACAGCTGTGTGGTTAAACGTTTGTAACTTCATAAGGAAATGTCCGATTTGAATGATTTTTTTACCATTTTATAGCTATTATTTTACTCTCTAACACTATATTAATAACTCAAAATCGATTTTTGCGACGAGTGACTGGTTTGGCTTGTCTTTGCCACATTTTATTTTTATCTTCTACTGTGCCTACATTCTTGTGGAAAAAACATTTTGATAAGCCAAAAAAAAAAAACCCCAAAAAATCAGTATTTTATTTTCAAAATGTCCCACCTGACAATCTTTCCAAAAAAAAAAAGAAAAAAGAAAAAAAAAAAAAGAACATAAAAGGCCTAAAAGATATGCCAACATAGGCAATAGGTTGGGAGAAATTTATTTTAGAGACAATAATCAATCACTTAAACCAAGTGTTTTTTATCAATAAAAAATTTCATAGTAAATAATTGAGAATTGTTTGTGAATCTCTATTCTAATATTTTTTAACATTTAAATATTAGTATTATGCAAGTCTTTTGTAAAATATAATTATGAGCTCATTATCATTATTATTATATAATTTTGTATTTGTTGGTTTCACATACTACATACTGACCTCCATCATGTGGCATAGGTTTTGCTTGATCCCATAAAGGTGGAGGCGAGTCCTTGTCAAGGTCACTGCTACTGCATGTGCTTGCGGTATCTTCGGCACGAGCCTTCTCGGCCTTGTTCTTGGCCAACTGAAGGCGGATGTTCTTCTTGGTTGCTTGAGCAGTGATCTTGGCTGCAATGGCATGCGGAGAGGTACATGACTCCTTAAGGGCTGTCGCTGTTGGTTTGTGTTGTCTTTTCCTGGCTTCAAGAGGTGTGGTGTAGGGTAGTTCAAGAGTGCTATTTCAACATTACAAATAGAGAAACATTTAGAATGTTGTTGATATATATTCCATAGACATTAATTAGAGATTAAGAAATAGATTAATTCACAGATCTAAACATAATGAAGGGATGTAAACACTGTATTGTACATCGGAGAATTCACAAAATTAGATTGTTGGCTGGATCATATTGTCAGTGTTTATTTGATAGAAATCGGTTGAGTATTGGCAAAGTTATGAGTATTTAATTCATTGGATATCAGCCATATAGGTTTTGAGAAAACAGCTTCCAAAGATTCCGAAATCAATAGTTTATTATTAAGACTTGTATTTTAAAAATAATTTTAATATCCTTTTTAGTTAGATTTAGTGATTGGTATTTTGCAGAAATGTACTTCATTTTATAAAAAGCAAAAAAATGAAAATTTTCAAAATTCTGATTATATATAAAACGTTTTGGGTGCTTGTGGGAAATTAGAAATTGCGACAAATGGGTTTTGCCAGAGCCGGTCACAATTATTATCTTTAATGCCTTTATTTTATAATAATATTATGTATTCTATGTAAGGTTTTGTGAATATAGTCTTACTTGTCAAAGCCTTCAATATAAAAAATGGATAAAGCTTTATGTACCGTAGTTATAACAGAATAAGAGCTAAACAACAAGTACAAAATGAAGACTGACCTTGGCCTACAGACATCTCCATTGAATGCTCTTGTGTGTCGTCGAGATTTGTTTCGTTTAATACTTTCAAATTTGGTCTCCTCTGCTTTAGTACTCTTCTCTTTCTTGCTGGCCTTGTGATTTTGACAATCCATTGCTGGAGCGGTCAGGTGAATCTCATCAAGGTCTGCATACTAATATGTAATAATAAAAATAATAACTGATAATATAGAAAATCTTTTGTTTATAAATCTATTCATCTACACAATACTGATGTTAAAAGATGTTAATTCAAGTGTAAATTAGGCTTATTTAAATGTCAGTATGTTCTGTATATATCATGTATAAATAATAATAATAATAATAACAATAATAATAATGATTTCCTTGTAATCAATAACAAAAACAATACTAGTATTTTCTCAAGACCTGTTTTGGTCATCAAACTCATTAGTTAATATCACACTCACAGAATGTTTTTGAAAACATGAAATACTTTGTTTCAATACACAAGGAGAATTATCATTATTATTATTGTAATCAATAATAAAAACACATCCATATCTTACAACATTGGGTGAGGAGGGTATTGTTTTATCTTGTAACAGTTGAATTATTCGCACAAAACAGAATTGAAGGATTTTATGCTACATGTCCAGCATTAAGTGCATGTCACCAATTCAGTAACATGTGAACAGTTTTTGAGGTTGTGTTTACAAACCCTGCCTACACAAACACCCACACATACATATATACACAAAGCATTGTAATAAAAAAATATCAATGTTATTAATAATAATAATATAAATTTTGAATACAATGGACCTTCATAAAATTTAAATTTTTTGACAATGTTGTCTACAATTAAAGAAATAATGTTCACGTGAACTTTTGAAAAAATTAGCACATTATGAATGTTTGATTACTGTATTATTATTAAAGTGCATTTAGGCATACAAGAAGGTACAAATACCATCCTGCTTTAGGCCTATACATAATTAATAAAAATTGTAGCCAAGCGTAATGAGTGTATAAATGTGTTTAAGAATAATTTTTAAAATTTGTACATGTTTAATTCTAATGAGCGCTAATTAATTAAAAATATCAAAATAGGGACTAGAAATGAGCTTTATGTTTGCGTGATGGAAGTGCAATGTTTTACTCTCTGAATTTTAAATCAGATGATGCCAACCAGCTGTAGATGAGCCAATGGTATTACAAAATATTCAATGTAAATATTTGTACTGCTATTACTCCTCTGGTCGTATATTTACTTACTATCTAATAAATATACTGCTAAACTTACATTTTTTGGTTTGTCACTAAGTTCGGAATCTGCGGAGTTTTCTGTTGTTGTTGATGATGAATCGTCACACACATGATCTACCTCAAGTTCTTGTGAGTGTACTGGTATGATTCCCTCATCAAGATCAACAGTTCTATGATGCATTCTAGATTTGCGTTTACTTGCTTTACTAAGTGTGTTATGTTGTTCATTTTGTGTAATACTATAATCATAGACATATGTTTCTTGTGATACTGCATTAGTTTCAATGTCCTGATCATTCAAGATCAAAGTTTGCTCTTCAAAATCTATGTCTTGCGTACCAGGTGACGGATTGTTTTGTTCGTATCTGTTTTCGTGGTACCGATGGCGAGCAGAGCGCCCTCTACGTGTGTAATGCTCGGACGGTGAATCATTATTTCGTTGATCACTACCCAAGCGGTGATGCCGACTTCCTCGGCCTAAATTATTTTTAACTCTATCTTTTTCTGGGTGTATTTTTCTTGAATTTGAATTGCGGTTGTCGGTCCTGCGTGTATTGTTGGCAACTTCATCAACAGGACTTGAAGGTTTATCAGGGGGTGGAGGGGAATGTGTTTTTCGACCGTAGCCCAATTTTTTCTTTATAGTTGCTAGTAGACTGTTATTACTATAAAAATAAAGAAAAAAGAGATGTTAAATGTTAGATACATCAATCAATCACTATGTAACATTATAAAAGTGTTTACATGCAAAAGATATCTAAATTTAAGAAAAACTATACTAAATATTTATTGTTTTATTTATTTCTCACTTATTATTTAAAAGCAATACACATATTGAGTTCATATTAACTGTAATCTGAACATTTATTTACTTTTGCTTATTAGTATTCACTGCTCCTGCTCCATTGACATTCCTAAGATCAAAACGTTTAGACTGATCAACTTCTCCATTTGTGTGTGAAAATTGTGTTGGTACCAAATCACTAAACCGTAAGGACTCCAGGTATGAAGCCATTAGAACACCGAGAAACAAAACGTTCATAAGAATTGCTGTAACTAAGTAAAGGAGGCTTTCCCAATGAGGACGTGGAATGACTGCGGCACAACTTGACAGCAAATGTGGTGGAAGGGTGGCTATCAAAGTGTAGTCAAGTTCAGTACCGTCTTCTATGACAACGGTAAGTGTTCTTGTCACTCTTGACATGCAAAAATCCGGAGTGAACCTGTGAAACATAAAGTATCAGAAAAAAGTTTGTGTTAATTGCAATTTTCAAATCTTATTTTTGTTAATTATTGTTAAACATATTTTGTTTTCCAGTTTTTATAACAACAAACATAACAACTTCATTATTTATAACAAACATAACTTCTTTATTTGTAACATAACTTCATTATTTGCACTATAGTCAGGCCTGCATTCTGTCCAGTAGTAAAATGCCAAAGAACTTACGCTATATCTATTTTTGGGGTGTCTCCTGGTGCTAAATCCATTTTTTGACATTGTCTAACACGAAAACCAAAACCTTCACAATCGTGTCCATTGATGCGAAACGTTCTAATTGGTAAAGGGAGCAACCCTTCATTGGTAAGTTTAAACGTCTTTCCAACGGTAAAATTTGGTGTTTTTCCTTTAACATTAGTTTCTAAAAGATGAAAGAAAAGTGTTACATGTAATACACAAATCTCATTCTTAAACTTTTGATGTTACACTAATTTTAGAAATATTTTTATTCACAAATTGTTGTTTTTTTTCAATGAAAATTATCACAAATGTTTTATCCACTAAAATCTCTATAAGATATTTTATTAGTTCATATTAATATAATTATTTAGTAATTTAGTGCAGAAAGAAATAAAACTCATATTTAACTATTAGGCAGTCTATTAGTTAATAGTTAATTTAAAAACCTGGGTTTTGCAAATAAATGAACTTAGAACCCTTGTTACAACTTCATTAAATACATACTTATTTTCAATATATCAAAAACAAATACTTACTATTACAGTCTGCTAAATGGGCTGGCTTCAATTCAAAAAGTAAATTACTATTACTATTAGGCACTCTTCCATTCAACCGTAGTTCTCCTCTCGCTCCTGTACCTTTTACGACAAACCCATCCATGATAGTCATATTATTCCTAAAAACAGACAGAGGCCAGAAATATTGTAAAAATAATCACTTTCCATACAGCAAAAATGAAAATCAATGAATCTGCTAGGCAGCCTAATGACATGGTTTATCGGTCCTAATGTAGAAGTGGTTGGCACATCAATTGTGGCTTGGACTCTTGCTGTGCAAGTCGCTTGTGTCCTTGGGCAAGGCACTTTATCTACATTTGTCTCTCTCTACCCAGGAGTATAAATGGGTACCTGGTAGGATGTTGTGGCATTGAATGTTCATAGTTTTGTGCGCTAAAGAAGTAGCGAACAACTAGGGATACTCCCCAGGGAACAGAGAAAGTTGCGCTTTGTGCTGGTTTGCCATTATACGTTATCCAGTGACCAGGGTTAATAACGCTCACGACTTTGATCATTCAATTTGAAATTGGCGCCTTATAAATGTTTGAGTATTATTATTAATGTGACAGTGACAATGAGGTGACACATGGCCATGGCCTATCACAAAATTTGATGTTGACGGACCTCATCCACAAGATCGTCCACTTAATTCATGGCGGGATGTTGTGAGGGGGGACCCCTGCAGATTAAACCTCAACCCTAGAAGTTGCCGCTGATCACACCGCCAAGTCTCGCAAGATACACCCACCTTACAGCTAAATGTACAACTTTTCAACAGCATGCAGACAAAACTGACTCTAAAAGACGATTACGACTAAAATTAAATTACTAATCATGTGATTAAAAATCACATAATTAGCCATGCGACTATTGAAATTGAATGACCAATCATTTTAATATAATCATGTGATCTACTCACACTGAAACTAACGAAACTTGACAAAATGGAACACTCACCTGATAAGAATGAGCGAGATTCTCTCACGATGATCTGTTGGCCGGAAACCTAAATTAATTGTTATGTTTTCATGAGCTTTGAGACTGAGTGTGAGAACAGAGCTATTTGGCAGCACACCAAAAGCATTCTCTATTGCACTTTGATGCTTAAGCAAACACCTACCCGGTGAATCCTGTAAACAATAAAGAATATTTAAAACCCCATACTGTAGCAAAATATTAAAACATTATATTCTATAATTAATTAGTGAAAAGATGTACTATCAGTCAAAAAGACAGGATAATAAGTGTAAAAAAAATAAAAAATTAGAATAGCTCATTTTAAAGGATCAAATACATTATTAGCTTTTTAATTTTAAGTAAATACCTTACATAAATATACAAATTATGCAATTTAAATGTTGACTTAAAACTAATAGAACCTCTTTAAAATGATATAACTTATTTGATTTATTAGTTTCCTTTAATAAAATATAAGTATCTAATTCAGCACAATGCAGAAAAAGTTTCAGACTTTGGCGTGAATGTTTGGGTTTTGTGAGAACTTGTCAAACATATATCAAATAATAAATATATATATTAATGTTTCTGAATGATGGCATTAACAAGAACTAAGATGCTGATACCTGTAATAAGAGTAATGTTTAAAATAATACTAGAAATTAACTTATTAAAATAACAATTATTACAAAAAAAATATTCAAATGTGCCTATATAGATAAAATAGTGATCTTTGGTAAGTGAATATTATTTTTAACTGGGTACAAAATTATAATTAATATTCAATAAATAAATTTTTACCTTTTCTTTAACATCTTGAAGATAAAACACATAAGGGTCATCTATTTCAATTTTTTCATTTTTAAATCTGAAAGGTAGAAATTAGGCAAGCTTTGTTAATTATACAATAAGATGTCTACAGTGAATTTGCTTAAACAGCAAGTTTCAACAATCCTTGTCCACACTCTCAAACAACATGTGACATACCTAAATATGGTCATGACATCACATTATGACCATATATAGGCACATTATCACTATATATGGGCATACACAAGTTTTTTGTAAAAAAAAAAATTAAAATCAGGACAAAGGTTCTTAATACTGAACTGTTTGTTGATTTCTATTTTTATGTACAAAAAATGGTGTCGGAAATTAACACCTAGGCTTTCCACAGCAACTGAATTAAACTAATTTTACAGGGTGAAGATAAGCAACAGGTAACTTGGACAGGTATAGTGTCTTTCACTTGTGCTTTCCTCTACATATCTTTTTACTCAGTTTGAGTCAGGTGACGAATGACACATGGATTTAATAGTATATTTATGTGTGCTCTATAAGCAAGTGTCAGTCATGTCTTAAAGACAATTTCAGCCTGTAAGTGTCCTTACTGAATCTAATCTGTCGGAAGCAGTTTGGCGCAGCAGAATGGTTTGGTTTCCCCAACTTGGAGGTCAGGGGATTTAATCCCTCGCTGAACACTTTGCTTGTGTCCTTGGGCAAGGCACTTTATCTGTATTGCTTCTCTTCATTAAGGAATACAAATGCGTATCTAGTGGGGTTGCCTGCTACTGCGCTGATTATAGCAGCAATAATTAAGCATGTGGACCCAATGACCATGGAAAACAAAATACAAAATAATCTCAATTACTACGATAGGGTGAAGCCATTTCAATGGTTTTCACTTTACCAACATCAATTGTGCTCTATTAATGGGTGTAGCCATTCTATTTTAACTTTGAATGCTGTATATCAGGAATCTAATTACAAAAGTTGATATTAAAGGGAGCAGAGGTCAAAGATGATAATATAAAAACACTCATTGCATCTATATTTTAAAAATAAATTAAATAAATAAAATATATTATGCAATGCCTCATACTATAACTGACGGATAATTACGGTGTCACCACTACGCCCTATAACTGGAAAGCGGAGAAAGTCTCATTTGTTGAAAAATCTTTACCTTTTTCTTAGAATATCACGCATCATTTCAGGTGCGGGGTAGTCTGAGATGGGTACTACTTGCACTATCAGTAAATAATTGCTAGGGTTTTGAAGATTAACCTCAATACTCTGAAATACAACAACATAATACAATGTCATATATTAACATCGTAATTAATTGAGCTGCCCTTTATGCAACAGGACGGGAAGAAGGGTGGACTGTGATTTTTTGCTCATCAGAGCGGGACGACCACAGTAAACAATAGGGCACTTAACCCAAATTGCCGTTGTCGAGGGCTCCATGTCCTCTTGCTTGAAGTGCCTAGTAATGAAGATAGTGACCAGTACACCAGGGTAACCTCCTACTCATCCCGAAAGATGAACTGGGTTCCAGTGTACACTGGGCCTACGATTTTTATATCCCTCCCTTATCCAAGAAGACACATTCCACCACCAGAACCATAGGAGAGGGTGCTGCTCAAACCAGCGCCCCCATGTTATGGCTGTAGGTTGCAGCGCCCCTGCCTTAACCAATCAGCTATTCATCTCGCACTAAGATTGTGATGAATATTCATACTTGACCAGATTCTCAAGGGAGTGGAAAATGTTGCATGTTGTATAAAACGCTTGTCAATGCTTCTAAACACCATGATGTGCACCACATATGAACTGTCTCTGTTAATGAGAAAATAAATGTATGCATAATAATGACTCACAGAAGTTGATCCTATGTATGTATGTGGAAAAGTAACTGTATCTGTGTGTACAATCCTTGGCCAGCTAAGTTCCACCTTCACTGGAATTCTCAAGTTGTGAACTAAGTTGCTATTAAAGTTCATCGTAGTATTAATTCTACAAAGAAAAAAATATATAAAACTTCAGTACATTTAAGTTTCTATTCCACTGTATAGAAAGTGTCACCGCTCTCCTGTAACTAACAAGTGAGTGTACTTTGCTAATGAAAACATAATAAACACACACACAAACTGAAACCAAACTTATATGCTTATTGACATTGGATATGAATTTCAATACTTACTTATATTTCGTACTTTTGTACAAGCCTAGCCATGAGCTCCACCTAGGTTCATAGTAGTCCAAATCTAGATCTCCTGCTGTGCTATCTAAGATTAGTGAATTCTTCCATTCAAGCCCTCCTACATCAAAATAAAACAAGGTTTAGTAACATTCTTCAAACTACTTCTCACTACAGTATCAATAACATATGCAATAAAAATGTACACACTTAAATGTCACCTACACAAGAACAGTGCTAAAAATGTAGAAGTAAAAATGCTTAGATTAATGTAAATCAAATATTCTTTTACATAGGTTCCATTTAAAAAAAATGATTATTATAGATTTGTTTGATTTATTATAAAGTGGTATTAATATTATTATTTAAGTAAATTTGACAGAATAGAAGTCACAAGAACACAAAGGACAATGCTAAAAATGTATAAGCAGAGATGCTTAGAATAATGTAAATCAAATATTCTTTTACATAGGTTCCATTTAAAAAAAAAGATTATTATGGATTTGTTTGATTTATTATGATGTGATATTAATATTATTATTTAAGTAAATTTGTCAGAATAGAAGTCAAACTAGTTTTTGTTATCTGTTCACCATGAATAACCAAATAACTGATAAAATTATTGTTATTATTTATTTATTTATTTATTATTCATTAATATATAAAGAAACTGATTGAATATGAATATTAGAAATATTTAATGAAACATAAATTCAATTTTGGTAAAGTTCTTACATATATTAAAACACTTAGAAGCCAAATGAAATTATTTGACCAAAACAATATTAATATAAAAACCAATAACAATTAATGTTTAATTATTGATGGAATTAAACTAATGATGCTGAATATGAGTATCAATTAATTAATACAGAAATATTATATCATATCTTAAAGACTATTTTTATTAGTTATTATTATGTGTCATGTCCTGCTTCAGAAAATTATTTGTATTAGAACTGCACCCAAGGGATGGACTGTTCTATTATGTCAAAGGGATGTTCTGTTCTAGTTAGGCATTAAGAAGCATGTCAAGGTATGATGAAGGTTATAATGAGAATGTTTGGTTAGTTTTGTCGTCATTTCGCAATATCTATTATGAACAAAAAATAACCATGTTTAAATTTATTCTTTGGTTAAATAAAGTAAGATGTTTTTCTCGACTGCATTATAAAAAGCATCCCCAAGAATATGTAAAATTCATAATTTGTAATTAGCTTTGAAATCAGTGACTGTTCATTGTTGGATGTGATAAAATGATTTATATTCTATGGAAGTATAAAAATGCTTTACTTCGTTTTCCACCTTTAATTCACTCCTCAGCCAAGTGTAAAATATTAGCCCTCTTATTTGATAAAGATTTGAGTGGTAATTTATAAAAAATAAAGAAACTTACGTCTTGATTCTATTGGCATTCCTATGTAACAAGAGTTCCCACACTGCCTGCGGATATCGAAAACAATTCTACCAACCTAAAAAAAATATAATCCATATATTTTTAGTGAATTTTATTTACTTCGAATTTTTTAATGCGAGTTTCACCTGCTGTATTTGTCATTCAGACCTGTCAATTAATATCTATCACAAGCTTTTTTATTCTTTCTTGTGATAATCATTGGTAAACCGCAAAGCTCCCTCTGGAATAGGACTTGTGACATTGTACAAAGGTCTTCCTTCTGGATGACCTTATCAGGTAGTGCAGGACTACTGGACAAGAAACACATACACCATTGAAAACAGGTCCAGTTTATATGCTAGGAAATACACACCTTTTAAGGGGAAACTGTCAAAATTGGACAATTTGATGTTAAAAGGTGCATTTTGAAAAAAGTGTTGTCAAGTTTTACAATGGGGAAAATCCAATGGAGCATACATAATTGGCTTCATATGTTAGTTGTTATGACATGATTGCTCATTATATATAGCGCTATCTGTGGCATTTCAGCACACATCATCTGACTTGACATAATGTCAAGTTTGAAGCCAGTACATGACATCAAGATGCCAGCTAATTGTAATAGTTTGCCACTCTCTTATGTTCAGAGCATTATATTGTTCTACGTAATTTTTATTGTACTATTAATATAGATAACTGTTTAGTTGTTTACAAGCAAAGGAATTCCCACGTGTATGGGGAAGTACCGGTAAAGTATGACATTCACCAATATGTACAAGTCAGTGCTTTACCATTAACCAGGGTCGTACGTTTTTTAACAAGCAAATTTCCAGGACAATTCCAGGTCAAATTTTCCAAATTTCAAGGACCCATTATATCGCTTAACAGTAAAATATCGGCGATATTACGATTGACTACAAAACATGTATGGTGTACTAATTTTAAATGCATGTTAGTTGAATGTATAATAAGTCTTATCTTGCTCTAATTCGGTTTTTCTCGCACGTATAAAAATTTGTTTAAAGCAAAAGAATTCCCATGAGTATGGGGAGTACAGGTAGAGTAAGGTTGGGCTGATTCACCTACAGTTGAAATGCTCATTTGTTTTTCCAGGACATTCAAGAACTCATGCAAACCCTGGTTATCTTAGTAGACCCTCAGGGAAACTAACTTCTAATGCATTTGAACATTCTGCACAAGAATTGATAATATTTTCTCTCACCTTTGTCTTGTTTCTAGGGGGTACAAGTACTTTATTTACTTTCTTGGGGAGTCTGTGATAAAATCTGGCATCTGGTGGATCAGGATCAATATTTTCTAATTGCATTACATGCCCAAAATTGTTGGTGACAGAAATACTTTGTGAAACAACAAGTCCCTTTAAAAAAAAAAAAAAATCATTTCAATTTAATTTTATTAATTTACTTCCTTTGAAGTTACTCTTGTCAATACACAAAGTAACAGAATTACAGTAATGTAAAGAGAGTTGCTCGATTAATCTATAGTTACCAAGCCTTAATGCGTAAGCCATATATAAGCTTTTGCGATTTCATTTAACATTGCACATTTCCATTGAATTTAGTCACATGCTGCTGAGTAGAATTAGAATAAAATGATATTAACATGTTCCTTGTAATTTATACATTTCCACCTAAGAATCTTTAGTTATGAGATGTTATAATGCAATACACTTATTAGGTCAAAGGCTTTCAAAGAAAAATATGAAAACAAATATTAAATAGTTAATGACTCCCTCCACTCAATTTTACAGTAAATATTAAATAAATTTATCAGCTTGTTCATCTATCTCAGATGCTAAATCAACATCAACAGTAAGATAGAAATTTCTTAAAAAGAAAAATAATAGTGAATAATACCATAAAAATAGAAAATATTAGTTACTCACCGGAAAAGATGTTTTTAACTTAATACTTTCAGGGTTAATTACTAAACAGCCTTCCAATGTCCTAATTGTCATCGGTATTGTAAGTTGTTGGTACTTTGTCTCAACACTGAGGGCGCTAACAAATGTGCCCTGCTCTGAGGCGGCTACAACTAATACTTGAAAGACTGCATAGTGGTTTGGAGGTAGAACAACCTAAATGATGAGGCAGAAAACATTTCAAATATTAATATTTTCTTAATATTATTTTCCATCCACAATAAATTTTATTTTACTTATTATTTGGTCATTTTATGCTAGATCCTAAGGTGTGAAGTAGTAAATAGTTTTGTATTCGAAATCTGTTATGTAATGAGGAGTACAGTAAAGTTACAGTATATACTTAGTGAAGTAAACATGAGACATAATAAAAATGTCAACATACAGGGTAAATATTTTCTGATGATGCCTGGTCTCCTATGTTAGTTTTCGTTGGATCTCCTTCAGCAATTCCTAGCAATTGTATTTTCACATCACAATCAGGTAGAGAGCCATTGATATAATTAATTGCAACCTGAAATAAAAAAGGGGACAAATACATGACTTAAATGGCTACAAAATACAAAATTTACAATTGTCTTTCTAATAACTTATGCTGTTGTAATTTAGTAGAGTAATTTGATATATTTAGTAGAGTAAGTTGATATATGTTACAGGAATGTTTTGCCCTACCCAACATATTATCGTACTGAATGCCCAGTACATTCCCAAAAAACTAGCACATAAAATCATGCAAGTGATTCAGGTGGGATTTGAAACTACGACCTCCAGATAACTAACCTGGCGTTAAAGCACTAGACCAGCGAATCAGTGCTTAGTCGCTAGTGTTGAATGCCATCCTTAAGTAGTAGTAGGTATTGCAATGCTATTCCCATGTTGTTTGCGTCAGAAAATATTTTTGCTATATATGAATATATGTTTTGCTATACACCATCGGAACAGCATTGCATAAAAACAATTTAATATTACCGCAACATTTATATAGTGCATATTGCAATAAACTTCCTCAATGTGCTGGACAACACACCTACGGAACACATCCTCAGCTCTCTGGGGAGCACAATTTCATAAACACCCCCCCCCCCCAGTGCATCGTAAGAGATCCTACCACATACAAACATAAAGGACCTTGTCCAAGGACACAAGCGACTTGCACAGTGACTATTGTGCCAAACCGCTTTCACAGTTTACACACACAATGATATTCTGATGTTGTTTGCGTAAAGAAATATTAAATAGGAATATTTTGCCCAAACACCATTAGAATAGCGCAGCATTAAAAACAATTTAAACATATTTGATCCTTATTTTAATTTTTTACGGTCAATTATATTTTAATGCGAGAACTGAATTTCCTACTTGGAGCAATAAAGTGTATCTTATTATCTTATCTTATATAGAGCTCATACTTTCATTTCCACATAGGCCGTGTTTCCGCAGCACTTAAAATTTCTCCGATAAATTATCTTAAAATTTCCTTCAGTCAAGCACTGCTGACATTGAGCGCAGCCATGGCTTTTTAAAATATTTAAGAAGCAGTTAAAATTTACTCACTTTGTATTATGAAGTGTTTGATACAATGCCTAGGCCCCTAGGCCTACTAACTATTAGGTACCTTAGAAACTATTTAACCAAAAGAATTCTTTGTATGACCATGGTTTGAAATTGATCCAAGGTCAGTTTTTTTCGCATTCTGAGCTTTTTCCGTTAAATTATCCAATACTCATGCGAAAATTCATTGGAAACTTTGGGTTCTGTTTCCGCAGCGAAAATTAACACAGCTCATAAAAAAATATACAAATATCAGAGCATAGATTCATTTACACATACAGAGTGCATACAAATTAATACACATCTCACATAAAAAATTTGCATGTGTGATACATACTTCAACTGGATTATCATTGATTATTGTGACCTGCATAGCTCTCTCTTCCTCTAGACTCAAAGATCCAAAGTTGATTTGTGTTTCATTCAAACCATTCACCAGGTACTATGCAAAATAAAATATTTAAATGTTAATGACTTCTACACTAGTTTTAGCGATATTTTTGCTTCCAGGTAAGGAAACATCAATTTACACTAGGAAAAAAAAAGAACAACATTGAGCCCCCTTCATAAAATACAAACTTATAGCATGAAATAGGCCTAAATTGGAAAGGAAATATATATATTTTTTCTATTTTGCAGTTATCTTGTGTTGGATTGTGATTTAGGTAAATATGGAATGAAACAAGAGCTCCTAAGGCTTCTACTTATAAACAAAGGCAAAATAACTTGAAAATAATTGCTTTAAGAAAATTCCCCAGACTAGGTGTATCAAGGCATAGCCCTAGGCTTTACTTATGCTTGCCAACACCATAGCAGGGTTGGTTAGCCCGAGCTATAAGATATTTTTTGCCGTGTCATAGTAAGTATGTTTTAGCTTTCGCATACTAGCCGCAAACATACACACTCTGTAGTATAACAAATTAGTGCCCACCGAGGGATATGAAATCTAGGTGGACGTAAAATAATGACATCACAATTCATTTATGAGGCTAGCACCGGGCACACACCACCTCGACGGTCATCAGTTGATGTAATTCCATAGTATACATTTGATACATTCATCAGCACATGACGCCCGTTGTCAAGTACTCTCTGTCAAGCACAGATAGCACTGAAGGATTTTTCAACCTGACGTGGGTGCACGGCTTTAGTCAACAGAGCATCACTTTGTATACTTTCAATGTTTAGTCCTACAAACTCTTGCTTTCAGATTTTAATGGTAAAAAATGTTTACATAACCAAGTACCTAGGTAAACATAGGAACAATAAAATCAAGTTTTCCTTCTCACCTTCAGTTTACCAGTATAACTAATAACAGGGGCGGTGAACACTGATGCATTTGTACCGAGTCGCAATATTGATGACATTGGATAATTTGTAGCTTCCGGAAGGAAACGTAAACTTACAGATGTGTCTGTCTCTTGCGGTGGAATCGATATTGTGTCCTCAAAATTTTCAATCTTCAATTAAACAAGGATAAGTTGATTACTCAATAAAAAAAAAGCACACATATCTATAGTTTAGTTGACAGAGCGACTAATATGTTTGAGGGCTGGGTTCGAATCCCAATTAGATTAAATGACTTCTATATTTAACTCATTTTTATATCACATGAACCTAATATTTTCTAATTTGGCAGATTACTAGTAAAATTGCCATTATATTCTGCTCATTTCTTTTCCTCCATTTATTACAATATTTTATTGATTTTGGCATGGTGAACATTTAATAGAAATGTACTGTGCTTGCCAACATATTAAATGTTATATATTTTTTTAGGAAGGCAGTTAAATTATTGATAAGCAGTTACCCACAGCATGAAAAAAATGTGAAGAACAGAAACATGTTACTAGTACTCACTTTAAATATACCCTGTGCTTCTGGGGCCACGCTTATCTCGTTTACCATGAGCGTGAAGTTAAATAGGTTTGTGAGTGGCAGATCTCTTACTACACTTTCTTTCTCCTTCCCCAGGTGAAATAATGTGCTATTTTTATTGTATCCTAGAGTACTGGGAAAAGAAATGGTGCAGATAAAATGTAGAGAGTTATTGCTAATTGGCTCACAGTAGAAGTACATTAGGATATAACATATTTGTAGTGGAAGTAAACAACCTAGAAAGTTCACCACAAAATAATCAAATCAATTTCAGTGCAAAATTATGGGAAATATAGATAATTTCCATCATCTTTTACTTCAACTTCAATTAAGATCAGCAACTTCGGGGGAAAAAAAACAGGGTTTTTTTTCTGCAAATGAATATTTCCAGACATTTCTAGTACTTTTTTTAAACTTTAGAGTCTCACTTGTTACTGTAACATTTTCTGTAAATAAGATTCTATGGTATTCAGTCCCAGGAGACATTTGCAGGCCCATATCCAGGCAGAGGGAGTGCAATGGGTGTGTACATCTCTCTCAAATCAAAAAAGGTTGAAAACTGAAAATATTCATTTAGCATATCTGACATATTTCCTGTCCTGTCATTTTCATTGGATATCCTCACATTTGTTTGGGGAAACACCTACCCTTCCAACCTAAGTAAGCTTTAAATCATTCAAAAGAAGGCTACCAGGATTATATCTTACACTCCACCATGGTCTCATTCTTCTTTATTTTCTAATCTTAATCTTCTAAAATTCGCTGATGTATTGTAGCCTTTTCTAAACCCAAATTGTCTGTCATAAAGTATATTAAATTTGGTAATAAATTTAAGAGTTTTGTCAGATAATTTTTTCAAGGGCTTTTGAGAAGACTGAAAAGATTGAAGTAGGGTGATAATTTGAAAGATCAGATTTTGGTCCAGATTTAAAAATTGGTGTAACACGGGCTAGCTTCATTCTGTTAGGAAAGATCCCCTTGGAAATTGAAAGGTTAAAAATATGACATAGGGGTTTAGTGATGAAATTGGCAACATGTTTAATGATTTTGTTATGAAAATTATCAGTACCGGGTGATTTATTGACTTTAAAGGAGTTTAATATACAGGCAATGTCTATTTATATACGCCTCCAATCATGGTCTCTTACCAACTCACTTCTGTAACATTTTCAAATTCAATTTCTCCTTTCCTAATTACAGTACACGAAATAGCTCTAATATTCGTATACCCACCCACAGAACCAATTATTTCCAGCATAACATCAGATTTTCGGCCCTAAATTTTGGAATTCGTTACCCTCTCATTTAGTCAATGCATCTTCCATTAACATTTTTGCTAACCAATTCAAAAAACACTTAATTGCTGATTACTAATTTTGTATTTTAACATACATATTCCATCTCCCCTGTTTCCTGTCTGTTGGTCTGTATTCGATTTGTTTTGAATGTTTTGTTTATTTTTGGTTTTTTTTGTCTCTTTCTGTCCTGTGCTGTCTCTTTTGCTTATTTCCTTGGTTTCTTTTATCCTCTCGGGTCTTGCCCTCTTCTTTTCACTTGTCTATTATCACTTTCATTATCAATTTTCTGCATTTTCAATTTATTTAAAAACCATATTATTATTTATCTTTGTTAAAAAAAGGAAGTAAATAAATGTTAAATTGAATTGAATTCTAATCAATCAAACAATCAATCAATCAGTCAATCAATCAATCAATCAATCAATCAATTTTCATGGTACCATTCAAAAAGTCATTGCTCTTGGTCCAATAAAATGACCATTGGAATCCTTTATGTTATATAGATGCAATCAAGGCAATGTAAATTCATACATTGCTTAATATGTACCATCATCAATTATTTATATTAGTTTTATTAATAATATTATGTACAAATTCTATAAACACTTCCACAGTTAAATGCTTGTGGTTTTTAAATCTTTTCAATGTTTTGTTAATGTGACTGAATGCAAAAGCAATGGTAAGACCATTGTTATTTAGGAGTCTGTCTGTAAGCCCTTAAATCACTGGTTGACGAAGGACTTAAAACCAATGACTTTTTTGTTTTTTGACAAAACCATTAGTTTCTCTTAAATATCTATTTCATAACTACCTACTGATTTTTTTTAAATGGAATTATTTTTCAATCTATAATAAATATATAAATAAGTTAATTTTAGCATATAAAAATACATTTGGTAAGCAGATTATGTATTTATTAAAGGTTTCTTTAAATTATGTTGGACTGAATTAAACATGCTCCTTGAGCAATTAAACTTTGATATATTTCCTCAATTGTAAATAATAAAGTCAAACATTTTTCATAATTGTCAAGGCATCAGTCTGATTCAGAGAAAATAATATCATTCAATAGATTTTTGTAAATACTGGAACAGCAAATATTGACTTGTTTTTCATTTCCTTCCACAATTATAATTATGCATATTTACTACCCTGGACATTTTACGCTTTAATGTTTGCATTTATTTACTTCCTTGTAGAAAAACCTTGTTCTCACTGTTTTGCTAAGCTTCACTGCATTTTTGAAAGGAAACAAGGTATTTAACAAAACTGTTTAATACTAATAGAACTCAACTATATGATAGCAAAATGTACTTGTTTTGACTCACACACTAAAGTTTTGGAAAAATACAAACAGTAATATGCAATTATAGCCAAGTTCTGAAGACCATATAGAAAATAGAGGCCGAAGGAGCCATTATTTCTGAAAAAATTGTCCGAAGCTCCTAAGACTTCTATTTTCTATAGGGTCCGAAATAAGTTGCTTTATAAGTCAGACACACTGTTTTACAACATTTATATATTAGGCTTTACTGGGTATAACTGACAGTTATGGTAAACGGTTGCCCAGTGATCTATACGTTAACTAAGAGAGTGCATTAGCTGCGAGTATGAGAATGATTTGCTGGTATGCACACTCTTTGCAACTCTTCGCGATTCAATAAATAAATAAATAAAAATTAATAAATTAATAAATTAATTAATTAATTGTGGTTGATGAAGTTTAATAGGTGTTATTAGGTAGGCCTAATCTCCTGGTAGACATTTTTGTTACAGTAACTAGATTAAAATCTACTGTGAATATTATTATGAATTATTTCAGAATTGCTTTCTCTTTTCTCATTCTTTTATAAGTCCCCTTGTTATCTCATAGGCGAGATTTTTAGGTTCGCTATATATATTCAGAGTTTAGCCTAGCAACAAAATATTTATTGTGATGTAAAACATTTTGCATACAATACACAAAAAATAAAAGGCATTATAATGAATTAGTGCCTGCTAGTGTAAAGGAAAATTACAATCAAATGTAAATGAAGATGTCATGTGACTAGTAGTCTATGCACACAGATGAATTACAATGCTGTTGAAATAGTGCTTAGATGCACATAAATATAAGTAATTATTTTATACACAATATAGTCTTATTGTGTACTTTCATGGTAATTTGATTGCTTATGCAGAGTTATGGTATATTCAATATTTAAATTTAAGAAAAGAATAGTCAGTTACAAAAAAATCAATGTTGATATGGTTTCTTGTCTATTTTATTACACGCACCAGCCACGGTTATATATTTAATAAAATTGAAGATAGTAAATGCAGTTCACGATTTTTTGTTTGCCAATAAACCACTTAACTTGTCAAGCTTTAACTTTCTAACATGCCAATTGAGAGAGTAGCTTAGCTCAGTCGTTTAACCGTTGGTCCTGTGTGCATTTATTTCCCATGTGCACGTTAAAGAACGCAGTACACTCTTTGGAAAAGAGTAGGGGATTTTCTTCCGATGTACTGTCCAATCACCACCAGAAGGACCCCACTGGAAATAAGTCTTCTTCTAGACTTTCCTGGGCTATCCTTGGTGTTTACACCGAATACATCCAATCCAATCCAATCCAATCAGCCCACCTACCCCACCTCTTTATCCCCCTCCCCTCAACATATTAACTCTGCCTGAGGAAACTATTTTCAACTAGTTCTAATATAAGTAGCTTGCCCTTCAAAATCATAGCAGATTCAATCATTAAGAATTATCTGTTGAAAAAACTGTCAATATCTTAATACTTGGAAAGTAATCTGTAGGTGAAATATGTTTACTTTATGCTAGCACGGTGCCCATAAAAATTCCAGTATTTATGGCAATGACAAATATACTGATTAAAAATTAAACTGATTGATTGACTGATTCATTGATTAATTGACTGCATATTTAACAATTAAAACATAAAGTACCCTGGTAACTTACCCCGGTAAAACCAAAGCCTGATAGGGCAGGACTAGCTTCTGATTTTTATCTTTTGTTTTTACTATAATTTTTCCTGACCAACTGCGTGACTTATTGGCTTTCAATGGTTGGAATGTTAGTGAAGCTACTCTCACATGCTTGTCAGAGGGTTTTAATCCCATTGGTTTAAAATCCACTGTAACCGCTTCATTTGCTCGCATCAGTGAGATGCTCTGTAAAAATAAGAACATACAGCTTAATTATGAATAATATGTGCCTATTTGTTAACTTTACTTAACTGTCAATTTTTGAAATAATTGTTTTTAATGTGTTTTGAAGTGATAGAGGGAAGGCTGTTGACAATATTTCTCTCAACTTTAATAATAATAATAATAATAATATAGGAATTTATAAAGCGTCAATTAAACAACCGATGTGCATTATTCTTTCTTTCTTTATTCAATTTCAAATACCTTACATAAAATGTAGTCACATAAAATATTTAAACACATTTAAGGCAGATGGGGAGCTAGCACAGACACGGAGTTCATCAACCGCTGTGCATCTTAATGATGGAAAAGGTGAGTTTTAGGTAATTTTTTAAATGAAGCAACGGATGAACACTTTTTAATGTGTGCAGTGTAGGTGTGGCAAAGCAAAAAAGATTTATGGCCAATAGTTTTTTAGGATGTGCGGAGAACTGGGAGCAAAAAATTATTAGATGATCTTGGGGGGCGTCCAGGACAAAAAAATGTGGATAAGCTGATGTATATACTAGGTAACTGATGATATGATTTAAATAGTTTGGTATAAAATAAAAACTATGGTACATAAGTGAAAACATTTATTTATTTATTTTTTATTTTGAAGACACATATCACAAGATCTTTGGTTCAGTGAATGCGAATTTTCATTATCTTTCTGAGCAGTCTCTTCGAAATTGAAGATAGATGAGGTTTTTTAAAAAGGAAACCGATAATCTACACATTACATGCTAACCAAATCATTTGCTTGTGATACATCAGTTTTGTTATAATCACATAATCAAGACTTTGTGACAGCTTTAGCATCTGGTTCTCTTTTGTGCAATGGATGCACTTCCCTTTATCTAGTACTGTACTTGTAAACTTACCACAATTTGAACGGTTTTTGGACTAGTATTAAGGAGATATAATGGTATTATACGCGGCTCATCCAAAGATCTTAAAGTACCAAAATCAAGCATTTCTAAAGCTGAATAGATCCCAGGAGCTGAAAAAACAAAACACAGAATATGTCAAATCCCTAGAGTTATAAAATATAATATGCTGATGGTTACATACATCTCAATACCATAAAACCATCAGCTGATATGTTTCATGTACTTACTTCACTGGTAGTTGCTTGCATGAGCAATTTAAGATGTAATTATGTATTTGAATACTTAAAACACCTTTTGCTTGACAATATGTTATACAACGTAGTAAACAACAACATAGCAGAAGCTATAAAATCAGCAGATACTTAAAACATTGTAAATGTTTTAATATCCTCAATGAAGGACAAAGTTCAAAAGTCACAAGGGTCATTAGGGTAAAAATTATCAAATATTGCTAGTGACAAACGATTGGACCGACTGCATTAGAGACTCCTACCAAACATGGTGTTCACAGATTGAGGTCAAATGTCACATGGGTCATCTTGGGGTTAAATCCTGAAAAATGACTGGGTTCATGTTGTATTGAACATAGTATCTCTAGTTATATCAGTATTTTTTGTCAGACTTACCTGCAGAGACTTCCACCTCAACTGGTAACATTAGGAAATCATTATCTTCAACCGTATGGTTTGCTCTAATGCGGATGAATGCTGTATGGTTACTTTCGGTACGACCAACAAAACTCGCTCGCATAACAGACCGTGTTTGGTATGGAGGAATTTCCTATAAAAAAAAAGAATACTTTAATATTTCAAGCTTATTTTATTTTGTTCATTTTGTGTGAGAGTTCCTGAAGTATTTGTTCTTATTTATTAATTTTCATATCCCTCCATATTAATTTATAATAGGATTTCCTTTTCTGCTCATTTCTTTCTCAATTTTTTATGAGTTGTCCTTTCTCCTGTTTGTTTCCATCCTGTTGTTATATCTATGTTCTGTCATCCTTTGTGTGTCCCTTTAAAAAGCAAGTCCTAAGGTTTTCATTTATGTTCCTATTTTTGTCTACTTTTTATACAACAATTTTTATATTTACATTTATAGCAAATAAAGGAATGTTAATAAAAGATTCAAAACTGGTTATAAAGTACAGTTCTAAATGATAAACTATGAAAGAGAACTTGTTAAAACTTGTTAGAATTTCTAAAAGACCATCTTAACCAACAAGCTACAATGCCAATCCAATACTTTAAAGTCATGTTAAGTGTATTTTGGTTTATCTATTTTGTAAAATAATTGAAACATATGTGAACAGATTAATATATCTAGAAAAATAAGCATTATTTATTAACATGCAACTAAATCTCATCTATATCTATTGTAACAATGAAGTTTTCTCACTGTAAATGAAGACGAATAAAATGAAATATGCTTTATAAATTGACTCATTATTTCATCGACCTTTAAACCTATTCAATTAGTTAATATCCTATAAAACTCAATTTTGAACAATATCCCAGAACTACTTAATCAGTTGATCCATTACAGCAAAATTAATTGGGAAAGAACAAATGAAATTCATTAATCACAATATTATCATTATTCTGCTTTTGATCATTGAAATTGTTCTAAATTCATGGCTAAGTGTTGGATGTAGATTCAACATATGTTTTTTTTAAATCATTGTTTAACTTCGCATTTAATTAGCTTAATGTTTGCTTTCTATCAAAATCTGAGTTGCTAATTGTACATGGCATTTGAATTGCTATGAAAATAGTTATAAGCAGACTTGTCAGTACCTGTCGTTTACTGACTACAACTCAGTGACACAAATTCCAGATGACAATCTATTAAATTTCTTTTATTAATCTGTTACTTTCAAATGCAGACTGGAATTAATTTCCCTGACAAAACCTTCATCTATGTGTTAATTCTACCTCATCTATTGGTATACATATTCAGAGATTTCGGACAGAACTTGCAGAAGAAAAAAAATTGCCTGGGAAAAATATGAATAGGTAGAATAAATATACAGTAAATACAGTTTACCTTTAACAGGAACATCCCCTACCCTCATCTTATGTTTTTAATTGCATAGTGACTGTACAGGTAATAATTAGCACACTTTAAGAGACAAGCAAAATTTTAGCATTTCTAAAGTTCTTTTTTAGCATTTGTTTTACTTTTCTTAACAAAAATATTAATTGATGCAGCAAATCTTGCTTTTTAAATACTTTATCTGTTTAATGTCTGTAACTGCTTTGTTTGAATTTACCTCAGAGCTGTGATGAGATGCTACTGTTACAAAAGTGCAGCTTCAATAAACTATTAACAATGCATTAACAATCAAGGAAGGTATAATGTGTGTGTAGGCATCTCCATCTTCATTGATGAACGTTCGCATATTTGTAGAAAGATACAAGTTAAAACTATAACATAAACTACAGATAAACCAGATTAACTATAATAAACATATGTCTTCAGAGCTTGACACATCCTTAAAGATTGATTGAGCTCAACATGATTATCTACTGATTGATAACTAACTGCTAATGATTATTCTACCATTGTAAACAGTAATATCGATCTTCCAACTGACCAATGAATTCAAAAGAAAAACACTAATAGTCTGCTAATGCTGAAACGTAGTACATGTTGAAATGTACGTCGAAGACGTGTACAACTGTTACTGTACATTATTGTTAAACGCTTAGAGTCCATATCATTATTCTGTTGCCCTGGTGGATGACGTGTCAGTAAATGGGCATCTTACCAGCAATTGACGTCATCTCAGTCCTATTATCCATTAATGCACTCGTTTCTCTCTAATATATTACCATAGCAACCAATGGGATATCTATTGCAATATGCATAACTTGTAGTTATTTGACATGTTGGTAGATGTTTAGCAAGATGTGATAAGAAACTGGATTAACAATCACAAGTGGCAATTCATATTTAATTTATTACTAAAAAAAATTACATTCACTTAACCAGATTACAAGTCTAATATCAATTATATTGTAAATTACAAAATAATATATGAACTAAAAAGCAATATGCATGTTAAACAAAACCCCAACATTTTCAAGTAAGGTTTGTCTTACTATATTAGGCATTTATAAAATTCGTACAGTAAAAAAAAACCAGATTTTTGCCTTTCAATCTCATGGTCTTACAGAATGTTCATATTCTATTTTACTTTTTATATTTCATTGTTCAATGAGAATGGAATAAAAAACACATTCAAATATTGTACTCTTTATTATTGTACTCTCTACTGACCATAGCCATAGATTACCATGCATATAAGTAGTATTACTAGTTCAAAAGTAAATACGGTAGACCACTCATTTACATACGGGACGGGCCCAGTTCGTAAAAATCATTCTTATTTAAAATCGCGGTTGTGTGAAATTCCTATGTATTTAAACTACCGATATGCTAGGCTGGGCTAGGCTAGGCCTGGACTGAAATTTTGTTGGATTGGAGACAAAACTCCAACTTGCGCTCGAAAGATCATAATAATGTACAGTATACTATACATACTTGTTATGTGACATACAAACTTTATTCTCTCTTTCTCAGGCAATAATGTATGACTTATCTTCTAGCTTGCAAAGAAACACAGCCTCCAGGTGCCGCAACAGGGCGAGTAACGCAAGAACATTTTTCACTCGAGTCATGGGCTTGTAATACCTGTACAGAATAACCCGGAAACCAGGGCAGGGGTTCACAACTTTTTAAAAGAGAGCGCACCTGACTGGCTGTAGACACGGCTCTTGGACTTTTTTTTAAAAACATTTATGTAAATAATAATAAAGAAGATGTTGGTGTCAGTGTCTATGTTTTATGGGGGAAATAATGAAATGGTAGATTAACGTTAGTAAGATTTAATAAAATCCATTTATAATTAGGGGGTTCATTAAACTACGATACGAGGGTGGTGTATTCAGATATGAATAAATCATGTGCCTATCGATACAGTTTTCTCACAGCTGCAGACATGAAGTATGATCGCCATGTTGAATGTTGGTGTATTCAAAGCGCACTATCAGCGTTTTGTATTGTAGTAGAGATCGCTGATAATGTACAGCAAACCGTCTAAGGCTGAGTGAATAAACTCTAGCACGCGCCTAACGATTAATTCTTGACGCGTGTGTGTGTTTTGTATATGAAATAGGAACTTTCTTTATGACAACAATGATTTTACATTCGTAAAATCGGAAATTCGTAAATGAGGGGTTCGTAAATGAGGGGTTCTACTGTATGCAAATTACATGCAAATGATGACTTACCCAAAGGTTATTAGATGTCTCTTGGGTACCTGTTGGTAACTCCAGGTGAAGATCACCCCCACTTGAATATATTTCTGTTACCTGTGAAACACAATACAGTTTTTATTTCAATTTATTTCATTATATAAATTAGTATCACTATTGTATTATGTACTTACATACCTCTCCAGCCAAGAACACGGATACAGTACATCAGATAATATGGAAAGAAAGGTAAAGAAGGGAGAATAACCCATAACTCGCATTAACGTGTAACCCCTACTCTTTTGAAAGATGCAATGGGTTCTTTAAAGTGCACAAATGCCAGATGTGAACACTTGACCTCCATTTTAAGTCCTTATTCGAGAAGACCTGATTCTAACAACCAAACCCTGGATGAGGAGAGGCTCGAACCAGTGCCGATGTTAAGGCTATAGTTAGCGGCCCCCCCACCTTACTGCTCAGCCACTCGACTCGCCACAGAAGAGAAAATATTTTTTTTGCAGTTTCCATTGAATAATATACTTGAGCAAAGGATTATTACAGTGGTATAACAAGAATTGGGCCTTAAGGTGAAACAGTGTCGGCCAAGTTGCATAGTACAGGGCTAGTAGTAGTAAAGGTTCCTCCAAGTCCCATCATATAGGATTATTAGAGTTCAAAATAATAATAGGTACGCAATCAAGGATTACTTTTACACAAGTTAAAGATTCACCTGTCATAAAATATTTTTAAAATCTTTAAATTTATTAACAGCCAATGTAAAGGGTCTAAAAAATTAGGAAAATTGCTGTTAACTATATACATCTCAATATATCTTTAATAGCCATCAAAAACTAACCTGTAACACTGTTCCATATGGATTATGCATATTAATCAATGGTGAATATGTATAATTTAGAGGAACTTTGGCTCCAAGAAAAGGTCTCAGCCTGTATGGATTTGGTATCCCTACTCCAAATACCTGTAAACAAACAAAAAATTCAAATTCACAACAACAATGATAATTTCATAATTATTTTTGTCTCTCCCTTAAGCCCCAAGAGATATTGATGTATTGCGAATGGAAATACTTTCAAGAAGTGCATCACATGGACTGTCATACATATGACATCATACCATGACATCATACTATATGTTTATCTTTGGTCACATACACTTTTTTTAACAGGGTAATATTGTACTGTATAAATGGCAACAAAAGAGGAAAGACAAACATCATCTGTATACGTCACAATATAAATAAATGTATATATTTTATTATGATTACATTTGTGTATGTTAGGAACACAAAAATAGTAATAAAGGGATCATCAGACCACCCTCTCAAAATAATCCTATTCCCTAAATTAATTAATTAAAATTTATTGAATGAGAGACTACTTTTCCATTACATAATGGTCAAAACAGGATATTTACATTTTTTAAAAGCATTTGACTATTTGACTACTAAAGACTGCGACTACAGCTAATCTGACGATAGTAGTAGGCCTATTGTAATCTAAGGGATCACCTCAACTATGTACTACCAGGGATCACCTCAACATCTTCAGGATTTCCTCAAACGGAACAGAGGGAAATCCTACTCAATGCATTATTGATATGAATAAAGCTTTTCTACTTCAAATATTTGAAATATCAATAATACTGTAGCATGGCAAGTTCAGAGACAGTTAACTGTCAACATAACCAGAATTTTGCTGGTAAGATTAAGATGAAATATGAGATACCACACCACAATATCGCAATTAAAAAAAAAACTGACCCTCTCATCTTTGGTAATTCCTAGATTATCTCCATAATTTAAAAGATTCTGCAGGTATCTAAAAACACTATCTTAAATTTTAAATATCCACTGAATTATTTTCATTGCATAGTAAAATGTATTATATTGTGTATCAATCAAACTAATCACCAACACAGCCTTTTATATACCCCATTAAAAATATCTGATGTGTGAGTAAGCCATTTAGCATATGATAGATCATTTTGGACAACACAAACATAACTACAAATTACACAAATCAATAATGTTGAGAGTCTATGAGTAAGTAAGATACTATAAACCACTTGCTCTTTCAAGTGTGCACACCCTTGAAAATGCATCGGGTGGATGTAGAATGGTTAGTTACGAACACAAATTAGGCCTAGGCCTACAGTTGAAAAATAATCTTGACTGACCGACCTAGATTTGTAACCATCATTGTCAATGGACAGAATAACAATAGGTTTGGGGCTACTATATGTGAATCAAGAATAAATTGCAGGCTTAAAAATAAAAGCTTGTAGCAAGCATTTAATTTTAAATTATTCAAGAGATTAAAAAGTTTACACAGGTACTGATTTAGTGTACATTGCAATGTAAACCTAATTACATTTTAAATTTTTAAATATATAATTATATTACTATCCTTTTTGACTAACATTTTGAGAGCAGCTTAGCTCAGTCGGCTAATCTGGTGGTAGCCACTGTGTGTGCGCTGAACCGTGGAGATCTCTAGGTCCCCGGTTCAATTCCCATCGCTGCCTCTCCTTGTGTTTCAGCTAAAGGGCTGAAATACAAGTTACATAGCGCACCGTCTTTCGAATGAGACGTTTAAGCCATTGATCCTGTGTGCATTTATGACGTTAAAGAACACAGTACACTCTTCGGAAAAGAGTAGGAATTGTCTCCCGGTGTACTGTCCAATCACCACCACAAGGACCCCACTGGAAATAAGTCTTCTTCTAGACTTTCTTGGGCTAATCCAATCCAACATGCTTGTCCAATGCTGTAAAACATCTTTCTCTAGATTAAAGTAACATCAACTAAATATAATAAATTAATATTTTTTTAAATTGCTAAACTGTAATAATATAAAAGTCAAATTTCAGAATGAGTGGCACGGCTGTCTGACTAATTGGTATACCTAAGGGTAATCTAGGGACCTACTGCCGCGTGATACCAGGGTCTTTGAGTGGGGGTAAGGGCCTTTTCATACTAAATTTAAACTTAAAATTAAATTGTAAGGTATCCAAATAGATCAATTGTAAAACAGTTGTTCACAATATTCATTAAAAAATATATAAACAATGGCATATCCAACACTAAATATCCAAAGTACTAAAACAAGTTTAATAGTTTGCTTGTTTAAAAAACGGAAAGATGCACAATTTGAATACATAGCTTGTTGTTGTTTGTAACCAATAACAAAATGTGGGACAACAATCTGATTCACATAACATTCAGGTTGTTATGATGGCATCTTTCACTGCAAGCCAGATCACAGTGAATAGTCAGATCAAATCACACCACAACAGCTCATTTCAAGTCTTCCATGGCTTACCTCTAATTATTAACTACAGTACCACATCTTCACTCAATAACATAAATTACAGTGTAACATAATATAAATAGAAGATCTATTAAGTTGATGAAAATAATCAGTGTCATTGTTAATATTTTGACACTGTACTGTAGCTAATAAAATTGATTGAATTGCACAGTGAATTACTTACTTTTCCCCTGTCAAGTACATATACTTTCTTGGCTACTGTATTATCCTTAGGGAACATGTTATTAAGCCTAGCTACCGTATATTAAACTTTTCCTTTTACTTTTAACTGCGTCTTTCCCTGGGTATGTATCTGTGTACTACTACAAAATTACCAATCAAACATGAGGTATGAAGATTGTAGTCAATAAGTACAATTGATCTACAGGTTTATGTCAACTGTCACAAGATAAGAACTCCATTTGCCAACATACTTACTGAATTCACTTTAAGTCTAGACACAATTAGGCAGGTGGAATATTCCTGCTACTGACTGAGCAATAGTTTAATTTTATTCAGCTTCTTTGATCTGTTTAAACATGAATCATGCAACTACACACTCTTTTTTTAAATATAAAAAATTATAATTAAACTTTATAAATAATCATCATGCGGCCATTCCAAAGTTTCTTTTTAGATATTTCAGCATCATAAATCTATGGAAATGTAAAATTTTAATTACCACATTGGTATATTGCAAAGTTATTAACAATTTTACAAAAAAAATAAAATAAATAGAGAGTTGCCAGGCACTGTACTGCCGCAGGCGGCAAGTGTGTCTGCATTTTTAAATCATGCAATATCTAGATTTTGCACACACTGATGTAAGATTGTTTTATGACCACCAACCATTACATCAGTTAAAAACAATTTTTGAATACTATTCCAAGGCAAAACTTTGCTTTGGAAAGCAGAAAATGTTATGTATGCATATTCATCTTAAATTGATAAATATATTCAATAAAATTTAACTTACTTGGTAGGAAAAGATTCCCATGTTTGTATGAATAAATATTGTATTTTCTACATTTCCTGCCATGCGTGCTAAAAAAACCACATCGAAGGTTGTATTTCCACCTACTGCAACTTCCTACAAAAAAAAAAAAGGGAAAAAAATAGAAACATTGAATATCATTTTAAGCTGAGAATTGCAGAGTTCTCCATACCACTTAGTGTTGACACTGATTGACTGCCCTGGAAGACTAAAGCCACAATAGCACTGGATTAAAAATGGGAAGATGTTACCGAGACCGTGGGTAACATTCTAATGGGTAATTCATTAGTAAGCCATTAAAATTATTGAAGGCGCAAATCATTGATATCTCCTTTCACCAGCGTTTGAATGACAGGGAAAGTTAACCGAGATGCATGTTCTCATTGGACTCTTCTCGGTAAAACTAACCTGGTCAGTTTTACTGGGCACAATCCACTTGGTTCGACTAACCACTTGTCTCGGTACGTTTTCCTGAGAGATAAGTCTGCTGGGCTGTTCGCCCTGGACTAATTATGGTAAAACTAACCAGGGTCTTGGTTAGTTATATCAAGGGCAACACTATTCTGTTCAGTAGGTATTTGAGAGCCGCGTTTATTCAAGATTGGTTTTGTTGTTTAATTTGCATATTTCATGTTAATGAATTATTAATCAAGATTATTATTTTTTTCAGTTTTGATAATACATTTACCAGAATTTCATTTGTTTTATTTTCCTTAAGTTGGTAATTTTTAAGATATTTTATCTTATTTGTTGTTTAACTTCCATATTTCATGTTAATGAATTATTAATTAAGATTATTTTTTTCAGTTTTGATAATATATTTACCAGAATTTCATTTGTTTTATTTTCCTTAAGTTGGTAATTTTTAAGATATTTTATCTTATTTGTTGTTTAACTTGCATATTTCATGTTAATGAATTATTAATTAAGATTATTATTATTTTCAGTTTTGATAATATATTTACCAGAATTTCATTTGTTTTATTTTCCTTAAGTTGGTAATTTTTAAGATATTTTATCTTATTTGTTGTTTAACTTGCATATTTCATGTTAATGAATTATTAATTAAGATTATTATTTTTTTCAGTTTTGATAATATATTTACCAGAATTTCATTTGTTTTATTTTCCTTAAGTTGGTAATTTTTAAGATATTTTACTATTGTGTACTTTGTAAGATTGAACCACAGTTTGTGCTACTGATATAAAGATGTAGCTTCATCAAATAAATAAATAAAATGATTAATTTACTTATAAAATTATTAACCAATAACTTGTGATGCATAGGTTACTAAAGTTACTATAATAAAGGTAAAAATGATAGAAAAAAGGGTCACAACAGAACATTGCTATCCATTCCTCATGATTCACATTCACGTCAACATAATATAAATCTATTCATTCCGTATCAATAGTAAAACCCCTACTACACTATACTCTCATTCACTAGTCAACATAATATAAATCCATCCATTCCTCATCATCAGTGAAATACCCCAGTACACTATACTCTTCTCATTCACTAGTCATCATAATATAAATCTACTATTGGGCTGTACCATACAGCACACAGGGAAATGTGATGGATTAATAATAGGAACTGAATGCTGACTGGCACCCAGGAGAATGGATCTTGGAATTGATGAGAGAATTGATTTGTATCATATTACTGTACGTCAGTATCTCTGTATCATATAATTGATTTTACTTTACTCATGGGAAACACTCAGGAGTAGTAGAGTTGTTCAACCGATTTAAAACAGGTTGAACGCTAGAATTATTCATGTTGGGAATGACAATTTCATGGTGAACAACACATCATACAGCTTCCTGATGCAAATTACATAAATGTGGTTACTATACATTACTGATAATGTGCAATGGGGACATGAGACATACTGGACAGAGTAAATACTTCACTACAATAACAACAAGTCTACAGCTTTGCTTCTAAAATTATAAACAATTTATAAACTGTACCTGTACTTTAGAATTAAAAAATAAACAAACATTGAAAAGCTACAACCATACAGGCTTACATTAATTAAATAGTTTCAATTTATTATTGTAAATTTCCAGATGTATTACAATCACCTTATCGGTATAAATTTTTCTATTATCAAATTATAATACTGTAGATAGATGGATTTTTTTCTTTGGAAGAAGGATGGGAGAGGGGATGAGTGAAGGGTGTCACAAACATAGGATGATGTAGAAGGCAACACAGTAGTGGCAACAATGAGTGTTCTGTCACTGATGTCACAACACCCATATACTACTTACTCAGCAAAGCTTCCCAAGCAGTCAGTATAGCTGCATGACTCAATATCATTGTCTGTTTTTACTGACAATGACATCACAAGAACTAAATGTTTTGACATCTGTAAACAATTTTTTTTATAACTTAATTCATTTCGATATTCGGAATCTTGTCTCGGTTGTTTTTGTTTATTGTTAATTGTTTTTTCGAGACGAATAAAGGAAATGATATGAAAAACATTACAATTTCGTAGCACATAACATCAGTGGAAAAAGCTAAGGACATGGTGGCTTATCTCTTAGGCAGTCTGCTGAGTCAAACACTTAGTAATAGTAGTAGTAGTATACTCAGAAAGCAGTATCACAGGGTACCATGACACAGCTATGCAATACTCTAGGCATTGATTATCAAGGCTTACAATGGATCCTATAGAATGTTACGTAACAGTAATATATCTGTGGACACCCAGCATTAAATAACAGTAATCTATAATATTAATAGATTACATCCTAAAGGCAATTAACCTGTTGACTGAGTTGTACTTTGCCAGTTTTATCATGTTTTCCTATTTGCTGATATCAGTTGAAATTCTGCTAATACAGTATGCCATATATAAATAAGCCTGAAAGTGTTTCATTCAATAAAACCACATTGTTTTTTTTTTAAATTAAATATAACAATAAGATGTAACAACTTCAAAGCAAAAAAAAGTCTGTTTCCCATGTATTTTGCTACAGAATGGCCCATTTTCCTATAGACTAGTTTCGTAAAACTTGGAGTGAATATTTCCGAGAACCTGGCAACTAACACTTTGGCTTAGCTACATGTTTACCTATGTTTACATGTAACAGTTTGCTTCAGTTTGTTCGTCTCTTCATTTTCATGAATGCAAGTATTTAAACATATGCTCAAGTGCTTGTTTCATAAATATTGTTATTACTTTCAAAATATAATTATCTAACACTTAATGTCTTCCACATTAGAGCCATATAGATAGAGAATAAACCATGCGATCTTCTTCGCTTCACGCTTTGTGGCAACACCACAATTAAGTTAGGCCTAGATTTTGTAGCACTTTCAAAGCTCAAAATTTCTTAACCACCCTCTGTGAAAAGTTGCATTGCTTCAGACACTGATGGCGCTGTTTCAAAATAATACACCCAATCAAAAAGGCCTATAAACATTACATCTTTTTTTCCACATACTGTATCTCTAATGTAACCCCAGACATATAATGTACATAGTGTGCATAATATCTGTCAATTAGTGCAAATGCACATAGTGGATATCTGGATGTTTTGATCAGTGGCGTATCTAGAAGTCTTCAAATGGGGGTGTTGATTGGGCGCAAAGGTGAAGTTGGGGGGGGGGGGGCCCCGATGATCAGTTGAGGGACGCTAATTCTCAAAATAAGGTGATTTTTTAACTACCTGACCGTGATTTTTGGGGGCGACTGGGAGAGCGCGAGTAATGTTTGGAGAGGTGTGCACCCCCTACATATACCACTGGTTTTGATGAATGTAAAATTCTTACCTTATCTCGAAAGAATGAACAGTGAAAATGTGGTGTACTACCAGAGATTGTGTTAAGTTTCACAGTGCTGTCAGGATGGCTATTATATATGGTAACAGACTCTACATGTGGCATGCCGATTGGACTGAAAAAAAAAATGTAATATTAACAACAGGAAGAATGTTCATAGTATCAAAGATTAAAATATTATCTGATGAAGGCTTAGTAGTAGAGCACTAGCCATACTAGTGGAGAATTTGAGGATTGGTACTATAAGGTTATATATATAAAATTATCAAAAACCAAATGAGAATTGCATCTGGTCTTCTTGGTGTAATAGAAATTTTGGTTTAATTTGAACAAAAATTATTTATATTATCAATAACAATAATATACTTACTGGTTCCCAAAATCGAGCATTTGTGGTGAAACTTTTAAGTCCAGTCCCCACATACGTATTAGGTTTAATCCTATATTATTATATGAACTGAAATAAATAAAAACAGATGAATGAAAGGAAGTGTGAAGAGTATAAATACATACATATATATAATATAAATCATCAAAGGTACATATACAGTGTTTAAATAAGGACATGATGGAACATCGTAGGCTACCCTGTAGCTTTTCGACGAATAAAGTATTATAAAAGTCATTGTGTAATAAAATTCCTCCAACGGGATTCGAACCTGCGACCTCTCCCTGACAAGCAACACAACAATCATGTATTAACAAAGTGTAATAAGCACTTGTGAGGCATGAAAACACGAATCTAAATGTTATGTCTTGTGTCTAGAGACCAACACATAATTTTTAATTTAATGAATTAATAAAAATAATATTTAATTGCTATTGTCGTGATGGAATAGACAGTAACTGGATTTGCGTCAGGAGAAACATGTATCCCACCTGAGAACAACTTGCGATTTTTTCGCAACTGTTTTCAAACGTATTGAGTATTCAGTACATTTCCACATCAGGTAGGGCAAAATTACACCTATAAATATTTGTGAAAATAAATGGTCAAAATGAAAAATGTCTTGAAAGAAAGAAAGAAAGAAAGAAAGCACTTGGTTTACAATGGCCAGAAAGAAAGAAAGAAAGAAAGAAAGAAAGAAAGAAAGAAAGAAAGAAAGAAAGAAAGAAAGAAAGAAAGAAAGAAAGAAAGAAAGAAAGAAAGAAAGAAAGAAAGAAAGAAAGAAAGAAAGAAAGAAAGAAAGAAAGAAAGAAAGAAAGAAAGAAAGAAAGAAAGAAAGAAAGAAAGAAAGAAAGAAAGAAAGAAAGAAAGAAAGAAAGAAAGAAAGAAAGAAAGAAAGAAAGAAAGAAAGAAAGAAAGAAAGAAAGCAAGCACTTGGTTTACAATGGCCAATATCCAGTTACCTTGAGCAGCTACAGAAATAAATACTAAAATAGCATAGGTGTCTAATGTAATATTAATTATTTGATTGGTACTAATTTCAGTTAAATAAATACTTCTACAATAAGAATTCAGCATAATTATCACAGTACATTGCAGTCAAGTAGGCCTATATTTTGAACTTAAAATAAGTCTGAGTCTGACTTTCAGATCATCATACATACAGAATGTGATTAAAAGCACAGTCGGTCAAGTGTGCCCTCTATAAATTATTTTTAGTTATACAAATTAATGGTTTAAAGCAGTTTGTTACCATAACAATTTTATCAGTTATCAAAGTAAACAGCAGTCATTAATACCATCATAGACCTTGATGGTGTTGACCCTGCAGCATACACTGGCAACATATGTAACAGCAAAGCAAGTCTTTTTTCACTTTCGTACAAATGATGTTTTTTGACATAATAAAAACAACTTGATACAAAACTTAGAAAGCGAACCTACCATATTTTTCTTTGATTGAGATGATGCTTAATTAAACATGAAATGAAATTGGAAACTAAACTACCTCTGTTTAGCTACATTTTTTTTCTGCAAAAATCTACATGATAGTTCTAATCAATTACACGGCAATGAATCATATTCTATCCTATGATCACTACAGGCTCGGGGGAATGAGACAGCTGCGGATAATCAAGATTACACTGCTAGCCTAAACTTTCCCAAACATTGCTCAGTAATCCTTTGGGAAAACTACATTGAATATTTAGAAATGGAGATGACAGAAGAGTCAAAAATATCTTTAGCAGGCCCATACATAAATTTTATAATGAAACACACATTCATTTATTTATTTAGCTTTAGGAACTACAGCCAAGGATATGCCAAACAGTGAACTAAATCACCATTCAAAGTGGCAATCCCATCACAAGACAACAGGGGCTGTATGGGCCAGTACAACGGGGTAACCCCCTACTCATCTTGAAAGATGTACTGGGTTCTTTAAAGTGTACATGAGGCAATTGTGTACACTGGGTCTATTAGTTTATAGTCCTTAACCAAGAAGACTTGTTCCACCATCAGAACCATAGGCGAGCGTGCCATTCAAACCACTAGCGATATTAATGTTGTAGGTTGCAGCGCCCCTGCCTTAACCACTCGGTCATTCAACTTGCCATTGAGATAGATAGGTCTACACATTGTCTAAAATTTCAAAAACAATTTTGATCTTTATTATTTAAATTTATTCTAGTAAATCTAACTACTAGGATTATTTCTGATTCTTTGAACCAAAGACTTGGTTTACAATTGGTAGTAGTAAACTACCAATATAAATTACTTTATTTTGTGTATTTGGGAGGATAGTAGGTAAACCTTTGCTGAACCACAGGGACTCCTATGGGTTGGAGCTTATCCCAGTTTCATGCAGCGTGAAGTTGATGAGAGTGTGATGGTCCTCCTGGGTGGGATGCTGGTCCACTGCAGGGCAATTTGCTGGTACCCACTGATACAGCTGGGTAGTGTAGATAAAGTGCCTTGCTCAAGGACACAAGCTTATTTGGTAGGATAGAACAATCAATTGAATGTGCTCATGAAAGCTGGTGTGTGCATGGATGATTTGAGCAGCATTTGAGTAGTAGCATTTCCCATGGATTGTAGCAGATTGCACATCATGTTTCTACTGACAAAATACAAAAGTACGGTATTCAGTGAAACCGGTTTTCATAATTGTTTATAAGCGAAGACTGCATTGCAGTTTAATTTTAACACGAACAGAAACCGGTTTCTCCTAAAGAGGTCGTTGTACAATGACGTCATTTTTACCCACAGCGAGTTCATTAGGCGGAAGTGCGATGAAGCGTGGAAATTTCCAGGTCAACAGAAATTCATTTGGTCGAAGTAATCTAATTCGTCGAAAAAGGGGCAGGTGATGCAGTCATTTCCTGACCGGTTATTATGGGCCTTCGTCTGCGAATACACGCGACGCAGTCTCTTCAGCTTGCTGGTGGCCTGTGCAGCGGTGATCTGCACCTCAAATTGCTTATTTACTTCGGCAACTATTTTTTTATACACCAGATTATCTTTGCGGCTGCCGGCTAGCCTCCCCCTCATCTTTTCCTCCCCCCACAGATTAATCACTAGTCTTGTAATGGTGTCGGTCCAAATTACGCCCGACATTACTGGTACGTTTGCTAAATCAAAAAATTAAAATACACACTTCGCGCCAAGATGAAAGTTGTTTACGAGTACCATTTGACAGCTTGCTAGGTCAGGTCAACTCGTGGTCAAACTGAGACCGCTATTGCGTTGCAGCTAAAAATTGCTCAGTGAATACGAGTTTGAGTACGGTATTTGGCGATCGAGACCAGATTCAATTGGGGTTTTCAAAACCGGTATTTGAATTCAGGGGTTTTTTTGGGACCCATTTCCACTGACAAGAAAATACGGATCTTTGAGAATACTGGTCTTGAAACCGGAATTCTATTCTCAGCAGAAACAGGCCCATACAGTACATCATTGCTATTGTTTTCAATTACTTGGCTTTGAGTCAGTGGTGGCTCTAGGATATATTTTCTGGGGGGACTATGCTGTCTAACAAGTGAACTTGAGCTTGTAGGTCCGAGTGGGAGAAAGGGGTTGAGAGGGGGGGCTCCCCCTCCAAAATGAAATAGCAACCTCTAGGTGGCCAGAAATGGCACTCTCAGACTGCACTTTGCTATGAGCACTTTGAGACTTTATTTGGAAACTGATCAATACAAAATATTCTTATGGACTCCTCAGCACTATATCACCCCAACAATAATAGCACACATCCTGTTGTAGTAGTAATACAGGATATCCTATATCAGTCATATTCAAAAAGCTTGTCAAATGGAAGAATACATTTATTGTGAACTGTACCACTACAAGTTGCTAACAATACATGGTATAGCCTAGCAGAGGACATAATATTTCATTCATACTAGTCCGTTCTCATTGTAGAATGAAATTCCTTCATGGAATTTTTATTTTACTTCTAAGAAACCTATACAGTACCAAGTTTGAAATAGGATAATCGCTACACAAAGGATAAGGGGGGAAAAAAAAAAATACCATTTTAAACACCATGAAAATTACGACTGATATAAGTATTCAGGAAAAAATAATTCTAGTGAAACTGCTACATAATACAATAAGTACAGTATAAGCTAATCAGAGCATTGGTCTTAGTTCCAGTTTACTTGGCATTTAGTTCATCTTCCCCTCTATTTTGCTGCTTCATAAACATCAGCTATTTCATATATTATGTTTTGCTATTAAGTTCTTTCAACCATACAAAATTCCTTATACATTCTTACTGCATTCATTCAGTTTTTAATATGCTTTAGTAGACTAGCACTATCATAACAGTTGGAAGAATAATTTAGACATAAGCTCTATGAAGACGCTCTCACTAATCTTAACCTTGATTCACTCTCTGATAGGAGAACATCTCACTGTCTCAAGTTTACAAAAAGTCTTTGTAACACGAATCATTCCTATGATCCCCCTACCCATTTTGAAAATCATGGTAGGAACCTACGTAATAAGGATAATATTATACCCAACTTAATTCTAAAACAGAACGTTTCTCTAATAGCCCAATTCCCTATTATATCCAACTTATAACCAACAGCAAGCTTGAACCGTTAAGATGCCCATTCTGTTTCTATTATTCAGTTGCTCAAATCAAATTATTGTCAACTTATTGTTAAATTTTTGATACAATTTTGTTAAATTATTGTATTTTTATATTATCATTATGAATTTTAAATATTTAAAAATTATAATAATTAATTGTAATTATCTCTTTTGTAAATAACATGCAATTTGGCCTTTGGCCACCATATGTTATTAATTTTATGTGATTTTGAAATAAAGTGATGTAAATTTTGAGGATAGGCAGACTGGTTCTTCAACAACCATTAGGTTGAGAAACTTAAGTGTGATGGAAAGGGCATGAAGCAGCATTAGAGAGATATTGTATGAAGTACAGTAGTTTATAATTAGATACTGCACCAGCATTAAACAAATAAGCATACAAAATAGACATTTAAAGCTGGCTCTGGAGATATGTTTTATACCTCCCCGCCCCCACCCACCCCATTTTC